TTTGTATATCTTGATTTCAGATGAAAATTTTGAAATTTTCAAACATAATTCAGTGAAATTTTCACTTCACAAAATTATAGTTATAATTTAAATATGTGGAAAAAGATTATGCATTAATTTAATGCCAGGAGGATATGTGTTCATAAATTATTTTTTTGTTATCCAATATATTATTAATAATTAAAAATGTTAGAGGCATAACAAGTGGGTACAAGGGATATATATTTTATCACCATTTCCTCACAGAAGAATCTGTAATCACCTCACTCACTCTTACTTTAGTGTTAGTTTTAATGTAACTGATATATTAATACCGATAAAAGTGCTATTATTGTGTAATTACATTATCATACCAAAGCAATTTGTGAAGTTTGTTCACAGGGCTATAAATGGATGAAAATTACCATCAAAATTTTTTTGTACTTAAAAGTGGATTTATGTAGCTACCAAACTTGACAATATTTTACCTAAAATTTATTTTAGCAATTTTTGCACACTCTCTGTAGGTTATGAACTAAAAGTGGATTGTCATTGGCCAGAAATTTAGTGAAGAATTGGGCTGTTATATACAGTATAAATAAAATGCAAGTAAAAAAAAAAAAATAATGACAAGTAACAAAATAATTTATATAAGTTTTTATTAAAATTTATATAAAATAGGAACATATATATCTTAAAGTATAAAATATAAAAAATGTAAATACAATACTAAGATGAATGATGTGCAGACTGAAAGATTTGAAGAAGAACTCTAGCATCATGACATCACTGTCTATAAATAGCAATAATTTAAAAAAACATCTTTCGGACTACACATTGTTCGTGTTAGTATTTGCCTATAGACAAGAAAATTGTGCCCTGAAGATGACAATTTGAAACTGTTGAAAGTGCTTCACATGTCTTCCATCTGACAACAAGTCAAATATAAGGATCTTATTATTCAAGGAATCGATAGTAAGTTAATGTCTCATTAAGTTCTGTTAGCAAAGTGATTTCACTATTAATCACATTAACATTGGTATTTAATTCTTTGTATAAATTGTTTCTTTATGATATTTTATATATATATATATATATATAAGATCATAAACGAAAAACGATTTTAAAATTCCCAGCATCTCTCATTCATGTCCATGTGTAGTTGCATCAGTGTAAACTTAAACCTAATCTGGTGAAGCCCTATAGGACAAAACATGTCTCTTGAAAACTTTATCTACTTTGTCATACATCATTCTCAAAATTTATATACCATTATCCCATATATATATATATATATAATATATATGTATGTATACATTATAAAAAAAACAAATATATGAAATATATAAAAAATATTTTGAAATGAAATATAAAATGTAAAACTTTATTAATGTTTAAATGTCTATATCTGTATATAAAAGTATAAAATATCAAACAGTGGAAAAATATTCAAATAATGAAATATATAAAGTTAATATTAAAAAATCTTGGCATGGGTGAGATCCTAGGTGTGAAGGTTAAATATGACAGAACCAAGGCATGTGGTTCATCTGAGCACTTTTCATGAAAGTAGCAATAGAGCAGTGAGAGGCTTGCCACATCCTGTTTGTGAGAGTAAGGTTGGTGGGTAGAAAATAATTTGTCACCCACAAGAACTTGGAGATGCTTTTGAACTCTAAAAAGACTGGAAAGTGATGAATGGACAGTTCCACCCAAATATGATAAGAATACTACGTTTTAGGCCTGTAAAGGTAGAGGATAGCATGAGGAGTCAGGTACTTACTGGAGTGATACAGGGAGCCAGCCATTTTTCCTGCATCTTTACCAATGGATCATATGTACAAGTTCCACTTGATGACAAGTGTGAGGTCAAGGGTGAGTTTGAGGCCCAATAGTCTCTCAAGGCACAAAATCTTCCCAAGGGGACATCCATTCATTGTGATTGGTGTTAGTTCAGGGTTTGATCAGCAATGATGGAATGTAACCAGCCAGTAATTTGATTTTAACTTAACACTATATTTAGAACATTCTCAGATGGCACCTTCTTGGGTTAACATTTTCCACTAAAATGAAGTAGAAAGATTGTATTGTTTGCTAGGTCTGCTACTAGAAAATTTGGTTCACTGTGTCATATTAGACAATTTTTCTTGTCAGAAACTGTTTTATATATAAGTTTTATCATTCATATTGCTGTTACATCTGGTTTGGTGCTTCTGCTATATAACTTAGAGATTCATGATAAAATCCAATGATGAATTTGCAATGTTATTAGTCCTGACCTGGCATCTCTACTTCAGTCACTTTTCCACGACCATAATATAGCTTTCCTCTGCCTTTTTTTATAAATTCATTCAAGGTAATTATTCTGATGGGTTTTATTTTTTGGTACTTTGGCTTTATGAATTTAAGCACAGTACTAGATTGGCAGCTAGATCTCATCATTTAACAGTTGAAATGGCCGCTAGATGTAATCATAAGTTCTATGCTAACAGTTTCTTCTATCACACTTCTCACTTGTGGAACTCTCTTTCAGATTCTTGCTTTCCAACCAACTTTAATCTTCAAAAATGTAAATGTAGTGTCAAGCAATATCTTGTTTTCTTAATTCCTGTTCTTTTATTGTTCTCTCTTCTTAGTAATATTTTTCTTTTTCTTGTATTCTTTCACTCAGTAAACACATGTCTTAATAGCTTGTCTTCCATAGGATGAAATGATTTAAAAAAAAAAAAAAAATAAATAAATATTATAATTACTAATGTAAAACCAATCACATTTCTTATTTGCTAGTAACATACTGATTTCTTACAATATTGATTAAATTAGTCAGTTTCAGTTTTTATAATGATTTAAAATCCTCACACTCCCTGCAATGCTCACAGCGTGCTCCATACTTTTGGCCTTGTGCTTACTAAAATTGAACTGCAGATTTCCTGTGGAATATAGGGAGGGGGTGCACAAACTCACCATTGCTGGATGCGATTTTTGGTAGCAAGTAGGTTTTCATAAGATGGATAGCTTGATACCCAAATGGTTTTAAATTCATAGTAGTCTTTCTCTTGAAGTGGTGGCCAACCAAAGCTGAAGAGCTTAGTCTACCCTGTTATTCAACATATAGTTAGAGGGAGAAGAGACAGATTCATGCCATTCCCAAGGATATTTGTACAAAAGCAAATGCAACATCCTCGACTGGGATTTGAACTTAGTGTGCCAGTCCCAGTTTCTGTGGTGGTAACCATTGGACCATAATAGAAATTATGATAATTAAAATTTAAATAATTTCATCCAATTCATGCTGAAAGTACACTATTTCTTATCGGGTCAAGTGTTCTCTCTCTCTCAAAAAAAAAATGATCTGCAAAATAGAATGGGGTAAGAGGAAACTGCTGGGAGCATTTTTCATAGGAAATGGATAATGGTAATTCTAGAGAGAGAACTGTGGCAAATATTACTTAATTTTCAACCGGATAAAGACAATCAGTCTTTGAATCAGACAAAGTATTGCTGGCATTGTCAGCTAAAAGAATTTTAATTATATTAGGCCCAGATTGTGCATCTGTCCCACTCTCCCCACTCTTTGCATGCAATGAATTGCTTTTTACTGAATTGTCATAGAAATTAAAAAATTTGGAACAATTTTTAAACTTGTGAGTCATTTGAGTCTAACCAACAGACAATTTACTCAAGCATTAGTAAATCAGATTATTAGTACAGCAAATTTTGAACTCCTAAAGTTGTCATTATATACGGCAATGTATATGTGTGCGAACTGGCATGAATCTTGAAGTGTGATACAGATAGTCATTTTCAGAACTGTGTCTGTCACAGCATATCCCCCTTTCTTAATTCACTGATATCTGGCAATAAGGAGATTTGGTTTCATACCTTTCTCAAGAGAGTAAAATTATCACCAGATGCTTCTATTTATGGTTAACCGTATTTTAGTAAATTTTATATAACTGATCATGGTACCCCCATTTAACGTCGGTTTCTGAAGATATTTTGTAATTTTGGTGGTTTAAAAATTTTTTACAGTTTTATTGATATTTACTGAGTGCACAAAAAACTGGGTGGATTGATTAATTTGTTTTTTATGACTTAACTTTTTGCAGGTTATTTAAAACCAGAAAATATTTTTAGAATGTAAGAATTTTTTGGGGATAGTTATGACTTTTACTGATACAAGATCTACTAATTAACCCATAGTTGGTGGTGGTGAGGTGGGGGAGAATAGGTGGATTCAAATTTTTGGCAAGTGTATTTACGCATCTTACTTATTATAAAACACAGATTGTGTGTGTGTGTGTGTGTGTACATTTATATATTGGATCGGATTTCCTACATTTTTCAACTGATTTCAACAAAACTTCACAGGACTGCCTAAAATTACCTTGTGGTGGCTCTGACAGTGCCAAAAATTGGAAAAACACAATTGTTTTTGCACAAAATCAATTTGCAAACACGATTAAGAGGCTTCACAAGAATGAAAGGGGGACAACTCATATCGAGTTATACTTATTATAAAACCCAGGTTGTTTGTGTGTGTGTGTGTGTTCCTTTATATATGGGATCGGATTTCCTACATTTTTCAACCGATTTCAACAAAACTTCACTTTTGTTTGGCAGGTAGTGTTTCTTATTGTCTTGCACATGTTTTTCTTTATTTTTACATTCAGAATGCTTTAAAAATTCCATTTACAAGACAATTGTTTATAATAAAATTCCATTCAATCGATAGACTCATAACGATTGAAAACAATGTTTTTGTTTGAGTTTGGGTTTGACCAATCCGTTAAAAAAACCCAAAAAAACAAAAAAACAACAAAAAAGAAAAAAACTGATTAAGACAAGCATGTCCATCAACCTTAAACAATAATCTTTGTCAATTTTATTTTTCAGTCTTTATGATGGTCGATACTTGATCTATCTCTTGCTGTTGCAACGCCGGGCTCTACTGCTAGTAAGTGAATATAATGAACTTAAATGTAGTTGGCTCTCTTGAGTTCTAATTTGGCACATCTAAGCTTACAACACCTGGTATTCCCAAGGAGTCACCCACTTAAGTGCTGACCCAGTTTGGTGTTGTTTAACATTAGTGATCATATAAGAACTGGTGTTTCCCCATGATATGGCCGTAAGCTGCAAATAACAGGGAATAGGCTTATAAAGATTGTATGAGCCATGAGGGATAGGAAATTGTGAAGAGCCATGATCACCTATGCCCTGAAGAAATGCATTTAAATGTCCTTTAGGAGATTGTATTTCTGACAAAAAAGTAAGTACATATGTTGGCTTGACAACCACAATATTATCAAGACATTTTATACTTCATTTGTCAGATACAAGTTCTATTGCACAACATCTAAAAATACATTCCTGTCTACCTTCACAATACAGAAAAATACTTGTTGACAATACCAATATACTACACCACAAAAATAATGAACAAAAACTTTAAATTCTCAAGGCCTTCTATATCAAAATCAATCAACAAAATTTATTACAAATATAGAGAACAACATATTAAAGTGCATATAACATTTAATGCCATTTTACATTTCTACTAATTTCTGGTCAGCTCCCTTATACTGAAATGCTTGTTTTGTAAAAAATTCCATAATTACAACGGATAAATTTTAAATTATCTATATCAGAGTGTGTTTGCATGTGTTTTTAAAAATCACCATTACAATGGAATGCAGATTTTATCACAGATACAATAAGTTTGTCTTTGTAATTTACCTTTGAAGATGATCTTAGAAAAGATTGAAAGTACTTCAAGTACACTCTGAATTGTAAAATAAAAAATGTGATAAGACTGACATTATTTAATTAGAAAAGCTTTCAATTGCTTTTATAAATAAGATATATTAAGGACACTATTGTCTTAAAGAAACATTTTTTTTTGATGAATAATGAATTTTTACAAGAATTGTTTATTTTTTTAAATTTTAATTAGAAAAATTTATTAAGTTTTAAATCTTAGAATTCTGTATTAATTTCAGCCTTTTAAATGATATTAAGTGAAAACTATATTTACTAATCATAAATGGAAAAGCATAATACAAATCATTAAACACCAATATTTTTAAAAGAATTTTGAAATTTTTTGTATCTGTTTTGTTATCTACAGGCAAACATACACAACATTATCAGAAAATAAGAGTGATAATTATAGTAAATTTAAAGACAAAATTTCTAAAATTCAACAAAACCTTAGATTACAGAGAATATTTTCTTAAATTTTTAAGATTACCGAGTACTTAAAAATTATATAAAAAAGCGTTCATGTCATTTTCTTCAATTATGTTTTACAGATAAAGTCTCTGTAGAAAAAACATTAGATCTGTCATCATGCTGTAAGCATGTCAACACAGCTAGTTGGGTTAAAAACACTGCTACTGTCAGATTGACAATTTCTGTGATATTTTAAACTTAACATAAATAATATTTGTTTCAAATCAGATTAATTATACTTAAAATCAACTAATATTCCTTAAATGAAGTTTCAGAAAAGTATATTTTATTTTTGGAAGATTTTTTTAATAAAGAAAATTACATTGCAATGGAAGACAACTAAAAGAAAAAAATTTTCTTCCAGTTAATTTAAATTAATTTTTTTAAATACAACAAAGGATTTTTCTTATTAGAAATATTAAATTTAATCTATTATCGCCTATGCCCTTGAAATTAAAACTAAAATAAAAAGCTTCAAGAAAGATTTTTTCATCTTTAAAAATTCATTTTAAACCTTAGGTATTTCATGTAAGCCTTTAAACGAAGATGAGATACGTAAGCCTTTAGACCAATACGAGACATGGAAGCATTTAAACAAATATAAAACTATATGTAAGTATTTAAATAAATATGATATGGAAGCATTTAAATGTCTTGATATCAACTGTTTAAAACATCATCTTAAAGCATCATGATACTGATTTGCTGGAGATCAAGAACAGACCTGCAGACAAGAGTATTTTCCAAAGAGAATAATGAATAAAGATCCTAAATTAACAACCAGAATAAAAGAAGCCAATCTGGTAAGGAGAGGGGGTCAATGTTTCATGGTCAACAGTTATGCAAGTGTTCATCAGAGATACTTTGAATGCATGCCATCCTCAAAAGACATCATTATTGAAGAAATATTTGAATCTTGTTTGAAGTTTGTCTGAGACAAAAACTGAGTTAGTCACAATAATAACACAAGCAAGTAGAGGAATAAAAAGAAGCCTGCAACCCAAAGAATACCATTGCTATCATCAAACAATTGTGGATGCAGCATAATGTTGCAGTATCATTTTTAACCCACAGAAGGCACTGTGAAACTGGTTCGAATTTAAAGGCCAATGTTAAAAAGAGAGTATTATCTTCATATTATGAATAACAACCCAAAATTGTTAGCAAGGCATTAAGATAATCTTGGACTTTCATGCAAGACACTGATTCAAAGAACATCTAACTTTTGTTAAAAAATGGATTAAAATCTAACAAGGTCAATGCTCTTTGGTGGCTGGCTCAAAATTCTGATTTAAATCCTATAGAAAGTTTATGGGATATGTTCAAGAAAAAATTGAATGCAATATAAAGAATATGCAATTAAAGAATGGCTTTTTAATTTGTACTAGAAATTCATTGTAAACAATATCACATTTACCATCAGATACCAATTCCATATGATCACATAGCTTTTGATTTGTACTAGAAACTCATAAATACCATCACAGATTGAAAATACTTATATGGAAAAAGGATGAATTATTGATTGTTAATTATTGATTATCAAAGAAATTTTGATAAATTTTGAACTAATCATAAAAATTAATAATAATTGAATTGCTTTCTTTTTATTCTGTTAGAAGGAAAACAAAAATATTCAACATAATATATTTTTACTGTTTATTAAAAAAAATAATTACAATACAAGTTCATCGTCAACAAATTCATCTTGCAATCTTTGAAGCATCTTTAATGCATGCAGGTTATATCCGCTGGTGTCCTAAAAAAAAAAGAGAAGAAAAAAAATTGATTAGGCTATTTAAGAACATGACTAGAGTACTCAGGTTGATATTTTGGTTTTGTAGCCTTTTGTTGTGTTGGGCAAAACTAACCCTAGCACAATCTATCCTGTGTTGAAAATTATATACTAAATTTGTTCTAACTGATTTAGACAACAAGGTGTTTTAAGTGCTTAGTATTTATTAATTCCACCTTTTGAATTTTTATGATAGATTCAGGGTATGTGCCTTCACTGCTTTTAGATCATAAATGGAGGAGAAAATTACTTGCTGATTGTTGTAAGTCAAAAATAATTTTTCCCCTCGAATTTGAAAACAGTATCAAATAAATATAATAAATAAACAAGAAAATTAAAATAAAAAAAAAAAAAAACAAGAAATTTAAAATAAAAAAATTCAAATTTAAGTTAGAAAATGTACTTATTACATTAAGCAAGCAAAAATAAAAACATGGGTACTATATTTGCTGTGTACTAAATTTACTTTTTTGTGATAATTATAATTTTATAATTCTATATGTTGTTCTTGCTATGATAGAAATATAGCAAAATCATAAAATTATGATGAATATCATTCGTTAATGGAGATTAGATAAAAGGCATACATTCTAAAAACAGAATTTGTTAAAGTTTAATAAAAACTGGTTAGAGAAGTATTCAAATGTTATGACCCAGAAAAGGGAAATGTTAAGTGTCTTTTTTTTTTAGTCTCGGGAGGAAACCCCTTGACCAAATTTTTTCAGTATATGTCATTTCCTGGGACTCCTTATTTTAAGAATGTGAGCTCTGTTTGCTTTAAACTTCCTCAATCAGTTAAATATCTATTTGCTTATCCATTAACTAAAAACTGCACTGACAGTCTTGCTCTCCTCTCCAGACTAATGTATCATTGAAAAAGAAGTTTACCCTTGTTAAGTTTTTGAATCATTTCCTGGTTTTTGGTCCTGAAACTTTGAGAGCACAAATAAGAGTTTTGCAACACAAACCTCACACATATGGAATTTGGTTGATTTATAGAAATGGGTCATCACAGCCAAGCTACAATGCTATAACAATGCTGCAGTGAAAATGTTAATAGAATTGTGTCTCATATTTTAACACTGTCTAAAGTTAACAAATTAACACTTTCATTGCTGCATTGTTATTGTTTGGTTGTGCTGGTCTATTTTGGGAAAGAATAGGAAATTGCCATTTACTGGAAATAAATGACTATAAAGATGCTGATAGTGATTTCTCCTGTGCACCATCATTTTGGTTTTGATTGAATATTCTGTAGTACAGACCAAGCTAAATAACATCCCCAATAAACAATATGTCCAAAAACAGGTTGTATTGTATATTACTATATGTCTATATTGGTTTGGGAAGTAGTACGAAGCACTAGTTAGTTTATAACACAAATACTAAGTGATTGACATTTCACAGTGTCTTCAAAATGCACATATCTGAATCAACAGCAGACAATGTAATTTTTTCAAAAAAAGTGACATTATCGCCTTCCTTGGGGCGAAATGATTAAAAAAAAAAAAATCTCATTACTTATACCAAAGTCAAGTCAAGTCTTATTCTTTATAAATTAGAGTAGAAAATATAGTTTCATATAAATATAGTATTTGAATTAAATATTTCTTGGACAAAGCTAAATTTAGTACAAGGTCACATTTGTGGAGTTCTTAGAAACAAATTCACTATTAATGGACTGTGAGACAAATATACTGACCAAACATTTTACAACAATTAGTTCCAATTGAATTACAATTGAAGCTAATTGCTGTAAAATGTTTAGCTCCATTAGGACAAAATAAATCTGGCATTGTTTAACTTTTGGGCATGAAAAAAACAAACTATGCCAATAGGACAATTATACCCTTGACACTGTATACACTTTTGACTCCCTCAGCAATGTTTATTTACAAGATTATAAAAATATGTGAACCAAATACAATGTGATATTTATTATTTACCATTTTATAAAGAAATAAATTTGAAAAGAAATCTTTTTATTCAAAATGTATAAGACATTACAAAATTATCAGAATATATAAGAGGAAGAGATGCTCACAGCCTATTTTAGTGAATTTATGTGGCAATGCCAAATGAAAGAAATTGTCAGAAATTTATTTTTTTCAGAATTTATAATTTGAGTTACTCATGGTTGTGTTTATTTAAATTTTCTTGTTCTCTTGTTCAGGCATTTTTTATAAATTTATAAATAAAAAGATTGTTTTCATATTTATTCTTTTTAAAATAGTAAATAATAGATATTTCATTATAGTGGGTTCACACATTTTTATAATCTTGAAAATATAAAATTATTCTTGTAAACAAACAATCTAGTAAACAGTGTTCAATACATTTATTGTCAATTCTAAAGATTAAAGAAAACATACAAATCCACTTTCATATAATTGGCTTTTATTAAAATTCTAATCATAACTTTTATTAAAATAATAAAAATTGCTGTAGGAGTCAAAAGTATATTCAGTAATGAAGGTATCAAGAGAATAACTGTCCTATTGACACACTATTTTTTGTGGGCATGAAGGTTAAACATTACCATAAATATATTGTCCAATCAAATTGAGAATTTGGGTTGATATTTTAAAATATAATCAGAAAAGTCTGTCAAGTAGAAAATTGTAAGAATTTAAAATGCAATTTTTCTTTGATTTCCTTGCTGTGACCTAAATAGAAACAGTAAAATAAAAAATAAACACAAACAGGAAGGAAATTGGATAGGAATCCATTGCAACCAAAGCCAATGAGAAGGACATTAGATATTAAAGATACACACATCCTCACAGACAGAAATTCATAGAAGAGTTGCTGTCCTACCAAAATCAATAAAGTGAATCTTTCTTACCATAAGTTGTGTGACGTTCGACTGTACAGATTTGTTGAGTTGGATCATCAATGGAAGAATGGTTTTATCATTTGCAATTTGATTGTGATGGATTCTGAGAAGAAAAAATAACAATAAAAAAATGAGATTGATTGCTTTTTGAAATCCTGAGATGAAGTATTTTCATTATTTCATAGATTTTTTTCATATCGTCTTTGTTGATTTTAGCTCAACATTTTGGTTGATATATTCTTTAGCCTTCCTCATGTGACTATTATATTTAACCTTTTGTAATTTACTTTATAATTTTTCTCATCTCTTATTTAGCCCAGTACAGTTCGACAGAATCCCATGTTAGCCATATTCATATGAGAACAGATTGGTATCTGCTCTATTCTTGACTTGTTATAGCATCAATGATTTTATGTTGGCATAGTTCTTAAAAGAATTGTCACATACAGGTGGTTTTAACTGCTAATAATGTTTTTTTTTCTGAATACAATGGGTCTACTGGAAGAAATGAAAAGCAAGGAGAAGAGAAAAAAAAAGTACTTATCAAATTTTTAATACCAGAGGTAACACAAGAAAAAGGCCAGAAAGTGTATCTGCTGCAAAATCAAATTGTTTAATGATAGGGAAATATTTATCAGGATAAATACTTAGAAGGAATCCTGATAAATATTTTCCCATCAATAGACACATGCCAAACACACTTTATTATATCACCAGCTTTATAAAATCCATATTTAAAGAATCTAAAAATTAAACCAACCACAACTGGTGTAACCTAATTCTTTCACTCTCATACAAAACATTCCTCAATCAACATAGGACCAATAATGGGCAGAAATAAAATGTTCACTAAATGCACATATTATAAACTAAACCCCACATAGACCAAGTAGAATTATAATACACAAATACACAAGAATTATACACATGAACACTACCAAACAAGACAAATGCATCTGAGGTCTACTTAACAAATGAAAACAAACACAGAAATAAAAAAAAAAAAGTAAAATATGTTAAATTTATAAATGTTTCCTATTTGTTCCTTATCCTATCATTCTATCAGATTCTAATCCATATTTAACCTTTATTCATATATCAACAAATAAAATTAAATTTTCAACTTATCTGTTCTTAGAATTTTGTGGATGTGGTAAAATTTTACTATTGATCCCACTGACAAGTGGATACTATAGGCACAAAACTCTGAGTAGGGGCAGATAAGTTAAACATTTAATTTTATTGCTATTAATGCTCTGTCTCTTGAGTTGAGCACTTCAATTACAAAAAGTTGCTTGCCTTAAAGGCTTTATCAGAAAGAAATACACAGGTCAAGTTTATGAAACAGACAGCAAAAATCTGAATAAATAAAGTAAATAATAAACAAATTAAACTACAAATGTACACAGACACAAGTAAATATAATAATAATAAACACCACTTAAGTAATCAATAATAAATAATGAGTAAAAGTTAACACTATAAAATAGCTATAAATAACTGCATTTGTTTCTACATAATTATTACTACTCAATAACCTATAGAACAATTTAAAGCATAACTGTCACCACCCACCCAATAACTATTAGGATAATACAATAAATCTTATTAATCATAATGCACCATTGACCAGTATATATAAATAGTTGAGCCAAAACGAAACACACATGACCTGAAGATTTCATTCAAGCATGAAACAGACTGTCACTGATTGGTGTATAATTTTACATTTTTATCTCATTTATGGTGGACTGGTCATGTCTTGAGAATGTCTGATGACAGGATACCCAAGATCCTAATGTACATCCAGTCAGATCAAGGATTCAGGAATGTAGGATGCTCATGGCTAAGATACAAAGACAACCTGAAGAGCAACTTGTCAGTTGTCAATATACTTCATAACACCCTCAAGCACTTAGCCTTGGAGCAAGTAGAATGGAGATCAACGTGTTTTTGTAGACTAAGCAGTTTTCAATCTGTCAGTCTGAATCGTCTTCAAGAAGCAAGCAAGATCTAAAAGGTCAGCCAATCTAACAGTGATCTCATCTCACAATCTCACTCTTGCTCTATATGCAGCCTCCTTTGTAAATCACTAGCGGGTCTTAAGCGCCACTTAAGATTATTGCACAAAATTTCATAACTGAATCAATTGGTTAAGTTGTCAGATCCTTATACATCATAACTGACAGGAGAGTCTATTAGATGTACATGAGGTTGTCTGAAAAGTACTGGGACTGATCAGATTCTTCGATATGAAAGGCACCATCCACAGTGAGTTTTTGCCACAGATCCAGACGATGAATCAGCATGTCTACAAAGAGGTCATGTGGCATTTGCTTTGCTCAGTGTGCAAGAAGAGATGTGAGTTGTGGCAGGACAAATTGTGGCTGCTTCACTACGGCAATGCACTTGCTCACAACACTCTGAGCATCTGGCAATTCTTGGTCAAAAAGAACATCACCGGACTGGAACCACCTCCCTATTCATCTGATCTTGCTCCATGTGACTTTTTTCTTTTCTTCAAGCTCAAGGGAATCATCAAGGGGGCTTGTTTTAGAGGCGTAGAGGCCATCACAACTGAATAGTGACTGTGATCCTCACTGGGTGCTACATCTAAGCTATGCTTTGAAAATCATTTTGGCACTTCAATGCAATGTAATGGTTAGTAAGCTTCTCTCACTAGATCAATTACGACTGAGTAGTGAATTTGATCCTCACTAGGTGCCCCATACTTTTGGCCTTGTGCCACATCTAAGCTAGGCTTAGAAAATCACTTGGAAACTTTGATATAATGTAATGATTAGAAAGCTTATCTTGCAAGATCAAATACAACTGAATAGTGAGTTTGATCCTCACTGGGTGCCCCATACTTTCAGCCTTGTGCCACATTTAAGCTATGCTTAGAAAATCACCATATTCACTTCCAAATAATGTTACCATCATTATCATATTACTCAAATAGGCTTTTATATTTTCCACTTGGTAAAACATATTGCTTGTAGAAGTCAGCAGTAGATTCAGAATGAAATTTTTATTTAAAAAATATGTCCCATTGTAAGTCAATTGATTTCAACTGAAATTTTTTTTTTTGCCACTTGCTCCAAAAATTAACTAGATAATTAGTGTCCAGATGTTAAGTTGGCAGGCTGAACAAAAATCCTTTATGGGCCAGATGTGGCCCAAGGCCTGGGGATTGCTGACCCCTGCTCTAGGCTATTGTCCTGTGGTCTTGTACCAAACTTAGAACACATATTGAACACTGAATCACAGATAGCAAGCTTGTCACCCAAGATATTCATGGTTATGGTGAGTTTAATCCTCTCTGGGTGTTCCACTATTGTAGTTCCGTTCCAGACACCAAAGTTTAACTTAAATTCAATAAATAACCATTTAGGTGTCTATAATCTCCTGATGTTTAGCAAGCTAGTCTTGCAGACAATTTATTTGTGGGGGGAATTTGATCCTCACTAAGTGCTGTCCAAATTGAATTAATATTTACCTTTATTCTGTAATCCATTTCAAGCAAGATTCACTGTTTGTTTTCTATTTGATGTGAAAGTAGAAATGAGCAGAATACGATTGTTTAAAAATGAAGTAGATGGAAAATGCTTACCTGAGGAGAAAGAGGACAGCATCAATGGCTCTGACTGTGCACCATTTTGAATGGATAAAATTCTGAAGTAGTTTCAATAAAATAATGGCTTGGTCATAAGGAAGGCCGAACAATGTTCCTTCCATTTCACTGAAAGTACAAAAATAAGTTTTGTCATTTTGTTAGGTTAGGTTGGTTAATTTAATGACATAGTAACAAATTGGGTTATTTAATATAGAATATAAGTCTTACAGGAGAACAATGAATTTTTTTCTAATCAATTCACCCCAAGCAAAGCAATGAAGTCACTGAGACACAGGGGTTACTGAGTGTTAGGGAATATGAGAATTAAAATCACTATTAAGGAGAGAGAACAATAAAAACAGGAATTAGGAAGATGGAAGACAATGATTGACATTGCATTTAAATTTCTGAAGATCAAAGTTGACTGGGAAGCAAGAAACCAGAAGAGAATTCCAGAAGCAAAAAGTACGAGAGACAAAACAGTTAGCATAGAACTTATGGTTACATTACCATTTCAACTGTAAAATGATAAATGATGAGACCTTGCCACCAATCTAATACTCTGCTTAAATTCATAAAGTCTAGGTACCATAGAGGAAAGAACATCAGAACAATTAACATGAAATTATTTATGGAAAAGGCACAGGGAAGCTATGTTACAGCAGTGGTAAAGTGACTAAAGCCAAAATGCTAGGTCAGGACCATTAACATTGCAGATTCTTCTTTGGATTTTATTAAGAATCTCTAAATATATAGCAGAAGCACCAGACCAGATGTGGCAGCAATATTCAAAGCAAAGACTTAAAATATGTAAGATTCTGGCAAGAAAAATTGTCTATTACAACACAGTGAACTTTTTTAGCAGTAGACCCAGCAATTGATCCAATATAATCTTTCTACTTCATGTCAGCAGAAAATGTTAATCTGAGAAGACACAATGAGTCACTTCTTTGGAGGTTAGTATCAGTCATGCTGATGGAAAGCAAAATGGGTTCTCTCATTAATAGATATATAGACATATGGTTTAGTTTTCACCCAGCATCAAAAAACTTAGGTCAGGTTTATATCTGAGTCTGTAACTATCAACCCAGAAGATGGCCCCCTTTTGAAGAGGATCTTACCTCTCTGCTGGAGATGCAGTTAATACATTGTAAGTGCCACTGATTGGACAATTTGCTATTTTGAAGGCAATGTTTGAATGTATTGTCAATGAATGTATATTCAAAATGCAATAAGAGCCAATATATAAAACATGATATTTAAAAAAATTAAACTGGTGATATAACATTGAAAATGGCTTGCGGTTAGTCACAAGTGCTTAGACATGGAAGGCTTTATTTACCAATAACAAGTGTAAATCAAGAAAATTATTAGAAATACTGAAAAAGTAAATAAAAAATATCCAACAAAAAACTTTTCTTTTTTTTGTTTTTTAATCAAATGTGCATAAATTAAAAATTGCTATCTAAATATACCGTGTGTGTGTGCGCGTGCATAAAGACAAAAGTAAAACTTATGTTAGCCAACATGTTTTGTCCTCTGTCATTATCAAATGTCCTGATAAAGTCCCTCAGTTTTCCTTTTGTCTTTTTTCATATTGTTCTTTTACAGATATACTCTATCTGAATTTATTTATATATATATATACGGATATTACAGATGAAGAAAGGAACATTATTCTGTATGCAAAAAAATCAGTACTTATACATAAAGGTGAGGAATGGATTAAGAATTCTTACGACTAATTTGACATCACAATGGGATCACTAGACTCAGCTGAGTCTTCTGATCTCATTGGCCTTTTTATATTATACAACCTTACAGCGCACTATGATATTAATACAAATGACATTGGTTTGTACAGAGACGATGGGCTTATGGTTATTAGGAACTCAATGAACTTCAAAATAGATAGAATTAGAAAGTTATGATATAAAGAATTTAAAAGCATGGGCTTAAAAATTACGGTTAGTACCAAATTAAAAAAAGTAGACTTCCTAGATATAACATTAGATCTAAATAAAAATACTTACACACCTTATAAAAACCCAACACCAATCCTTTATATATACATCCTAAATCAAATCACCCCCCATCTATAATTAAACATATACAGTTATCTATCAGTAAACGAATTAGTACAAATTCAGCAAATGACAAGATTTTCGATGAGCATAACAATTCCTATAATAAGGCTCTAAAAGATAGTGGCTACAAAAAACCCAAAACTAACTTATATAAAAAATGAAAATGGAAAGCATAGAAAAAACAGATGTAGAAAGATTATTTGGTATACTCCCCCATATAACCAAATGGTAAAGAACAAATTAGGACATAAATTCCTTGCATTAATAGTCAAGCATTTTCCTAGTGAAAGTAAACTAAGTACTATTTTCAATAAAAACACACTAAAATTGAGTTACAGCTGTACAAAAAACTTAGAAAAAATCATTAAGAACCATATTAATGCTAATATCTTAAATAAACACTTATACCAAAACCTAAAAAGTTTAGACAATGGAAAAATTAAGATAAAAACTGATGGAAATAAACAAAAACTATGTAACTGTAGAAACCCTCAAAATTGCCCACTACAAAATAAATGTCGCACTGAATCATTAGTATACCAATGCAATATCTCTTCGATTGAAAGTCCTGATAACATAATATATATAGGTTGCACTAGCCATGAATTCAAAAAACTTCATTTAGAATAAATAGATATAAAAATCAAACATCTCTCTCAAAATATTTCTGGCATCTAAAAGAATCAAATAAAACACCTACAGTAAAATGGAAGTAAATAAGAAAAGCTAGAATCTGTAGGTCATTAAACGACCCATGTCTTTTGTGCATACACGAGAAACTATATATTACTAAGTTTATAGAAAATAAAAATTTACTGAATCAGAGAAATGAAATAGCTATTATATGCCGTATTGTCAAAAATTTTCCTTAAATAATATTTAAAAAAAAAAAAAAAAAAAAAAAAGGAAAAAGTCTATTGGAATAACAGTGAAAATATTTTAAACTTATATTTAAAATTTAAAAATTGTAGTTAAAAAGAATTCAAACCTAAGCATCTTTTAAAAAAAATTGTAGTTAAATAAAATGTATGCTAACCGAAACACCTCTATAATAAAAGGACTACAGGCACTTAAATGAATCCAAAAAAACACCTACTGAAAAATGAAATTATAACAAAAGCTAGATGATGTAGGGTTGTGTACGGCCCATGTCCTTTGTACATACATATGAAACTTTAGTACTTAGGTTATATATATTTAAAATAAATAAATTAATAAATAAAGTTTACTAAATCTGAGAAATGACTTAGCTAGTTTTTTAGTAAGTGCCATAAATATTACTTAAATAATACTTAATTATAAAAGTTTAAAAATCGTAATTTACATATACTTTGATATGGAAAAATAATTTTACTTACTATGAGTAATTTTCCTTCTGTTATAAAGTAATATAGTATATTAAAACTAACAATGAAAATATTTTAAAATTTTAAAATTGTAATTAAAATTGTAGTTAAATAAAATGAATTCTAACCTAAACTTCTTTTAATTAGTACTACACGCACTTAAAAGAATCCAATAAAAACACCTATAGTAAAATAAAATAAAAATAAAATTAATATGAAATGCCATAAGATGTAAACTTTTGAATGACCCATGTCCTTTGTACTTACATGAGAAACAATATATTACTAGGTTTATATATAAAATAAAAGTTTACTAAATCAGTGAAATTAAGTAACCATTTTTGCCGTCAGTCATAAATTTTTAATAAAAAAAAAAAAAAAAATGTAACCTCATATACATACTTAAACTTGATGTTAAAATAATCCTACATAATATAATGGAGTCTAATACATTTAACTGTTCTTAAAAAGAATATAGCATAATAAAAATTAAAAATGAGAATATTTCAAATCGTAGTTAAATAAAAAGTATTATGATCTGAACACCCCTGAAAATCTTTAAATTTATAAATGGGGAAAAAAAAAAAAAAATGTCGTAAGAATTTTTTTACCGTTAAGAATAATTTTTAAAAAAAAATCCAGACGACATGCATTGAACGGACGTCAGTTTTCATTGAAAAATACATCCCTACCCCTTACCAAATTGTAGCTAATAACTGATACAATGATACTGACATAAGGAATACCTAGACATCCCTTGTCCAATTCAAGTAGAATATTCTGTAACCATAGAAACGTGATTTTAGCTGTGTCTTTAAAACCCAGTAATTTTTAAAAGTTACTCCAAAATTTGCTTGAGGATGAAATGGAACTAATGCTTTTAATTTAATTGCAAAATTAAATTTGGGGCTTTTTAGCTTCTATTTTTTTGAAACATGGTTAGAACTGTGTAGCGAAAAAAAAAACATATTTTAAATCAATTAATTTATAATATTATGCTCTGTAAATTTACATTGAGCACTATTTTTTGTAAAATAAAAATATCTATAAGAACACAGGATTATATATCTTACTGTTCTTTCTTTATATATATATATATATATATATATATATATATATATATATATATATATAAACATTTCTGGTCATCAAATAATTTGAAAAAAATCAATGATGAGAATAATTACTTGTTGAAAAAGAGTAAGTTGTGGATGACCATGACTGTGAATACCCCCAAGGTATATAATACAAGGTGTGGCAGAAATACCTCTCACATAATGCTAAGATATTAGTTTGATGAAGTTATCATTGTCACTAATGTCTTAACAATATCTGGGAGGTATTTCTGCTGCATCCTGTATTACTAGCTGAATACATAAGTGTGATGCAGATTAAGATGAAATTCCAAAACCTAATTACCTCAGACGGATTCTGGTGAAAATTTCTTTGACAAGTTTTTCAGATGTGTCAGCATTGTATGCTCTCATCAAAGGATTGCAAGTAGCGGATTGAGCCTAGGAAAGAAGAAAAAAAGATTGAAAAAAAAAAAAAGAGTTGAAATGAAAATTGCTTTTAATCTTCAAATAATCAAATCTTTAGCCCTCCATGTCTATGTTGCAGACTTTTCTGGTGACATAGTAGAAACAGAATTTTAGGTTATATTAAACTTGATAGATAAAACTCAATAATTATTCAATGGTGAATACAATGTTATTTTGAAATTCTGAACCTAAACTAGACAATGTAGAGCAATATCTTGTATTTTACAATTGAACAATTACATAAAAATATTATTTGAGCTCTCGTTTTCATCTTGATTATTATAGACACTACTATAGGCACAATGTCTTGACCAAATACCTTCTAGTCATTTTTTGGCTGATATCGGATATCTGTTGATTATTGTGTTATTTTGTTCTTATGGTGTTAGTTCATTCCTGTTGAACCAGTGTATATTGTCTCGCTACCTGATCCAGGGATTGAACTCTCAACCTCTATATAATTGTAGCTTGCTTCCCAATGGATGAAATGTCACAAGTCTCTTGCTGCCCTCTGACTTTTTCCATGGCATTTATTCTAATAAGTTACATTTCAATCTTAAACTTTTCATGTGTAGGGTTAAATGTTATCTTTCCTACATAACATCATGAATTGCACTTCTTGGTTTTTCTTACATTCATACAACACCACACAGTAACCCTCTATTTTGAGAGGCTCTTGGGCCTTATATTGGGTGAACATTAGTATATAAAAAAGCATAAAAATTTAAGCAACTTGAGTAGTTATTCTTGTGCAAAAATTAAGTAACCTAACAACTGCTAAAAATCTTAAGTTGCTTATAAAAAACAAAATTTGTGTAATGCTGAATTTAGCTTGCTCCTCACTAGGTGCTCAACATGTGTTTCTGTGCCAAACTAAGCTAAGCTTAATAAATACATAATCCCATTATATCTAAGTATCTTTGCAAATCTAGGGTTAACTGTTATCTTTTCTGCATAACCCCATAGACTTCACTTCTTGCCTTTTCTTATATGCATACAACACCACACAGTAACCATCTACTTTGAGTGGCTCTAGGGCCTTGTATTTGATGAACATTAATATTAAAAAAAATCCTGTATCCACAATATCCTGAAGGACAGTCATGTGATTTTGGAGCCTTTATATTCAATATCAGATGTTCTTGACATTTGGTTATCATGGCAGGTTCCTCATCTCAAAATAAAATACATACTTACTTAAATAACATCTAATATCCTCATCTTACATAATTACTTAAATAACATCTAATATTCTCATCTTTGTTGTTATAATCACAATATTTCATCTGTTATGCCCTCTAGCCTTCTTCAGGTATCTGTTGATCCAGCTAACATTCAGGGAATTTCAAACTGAACCCTTTATTTAATCTACAGAGTACATTGTTCTCAATCCATTGTCCATGTTTTTGAATATCTTGTCTTGTTCTTTCTAATACTGCTCAGTTATTGCTTGCCCTATTTCCAATGAATCAAAGTTTATACTATCCAGTCCAGGGATTGAACTCATAATTATGCTATCACCAAAGACTTACATACAGGGGTCTGTCAGAAAAGTTATGGGACTGGTGTCACAGAACAATTTATTTCAATTTCAAACAACAAACTACATGGTTTCCTCTTCAAATTAATCCTCTTCAAGTCCAATGCACTTTTCCATCCTTCTCTGCCATGCTTCTATGCACTGCTGGAAGGATTTTTCTTGGATGCTCCTTGACTCAGTCATTACAAACCTCTTAATGACCTCCATGCCTTCAAAATGGATCCCCTTGAGCTTTGGGAAAAGAAAAAAGTTACATGGAGTAAGATCAGGTGAAGAGGGAGGTTGTTTCAGGATGGTGATGTTCTTCATGGCCAAGATCTGCTGGATGCTTAGGGTATTGTGAGTAGGTGCATTGTCGTGGTGAAGCAGCCATGATTTGTTCTGTCACAACTTGTATCTTCTTGCACACTGAGTAAAGTAAATGCTGCAGGATCTCTTTGTCTGGCCCTGTGGCAAGAACTCTTTGTGGATGATGTCTCTCACATCAAAGAACGGATAAGTCCCATTACTTTACAGACCTTGTATTGCTGTCTTTTTTTTGACATTATAGGTAAACTAGCATGCAAATAATTTCTCAAAGCCAATTTCCTATGAATGAAACTGATTCAGACATTGTACATGAGGGTCATCTGCCAACACAGTCAAATATATTGTTCCATTAAAGATCTGATAAATTTTGACTGATCAAATAGATACTAAGTGACTGCATTTTGTAAAAGAAAAAAAAAAGATTAGAATGGGTTCTGTGCAAGGATTGAACTTATCATTCTTATTATAAAGAAACTAATTTTTTGTATGTCACTTCTATTACTTCAATCACATACATACACAAAGTACAGTCTGGCCCAGGACTCCAGACTAATTTTTTCACCATTTTCGTAGCAGTCCCCCATAAGTTTTTAACTGTTCTGAAATAATTTTTTTTTAAAACTTTATTATTATTTTAGCAGCATAGTAAAAACACCATTATATATTGAGGAAATGAATATTTATTTTCATCCATTTAATCTAGATACCACCACAAAATTACTAAAAAATATACCATGATAAAAGAGGAAAAATCAAAGTATTTTTTGAATACTTAATTAAATTTTTTAAACAATTTCCAATGTTCTAAAAAGAACATTTGAAATTGATTAAAAATCTTGTTTTTCTTGTGTCAACAGATGTACTATAAATTAGCATAGCAAATTTTAGTGTCATTTTTATGGTTAAAGACACATTGATTTGGAAATTCTTACAAAAATCAAATAATTGTCAGATTTTAATGAAACTTTCAAGACTTATTCACAAATTAATGAAATTATTTTAGAAATTCTTGGTAAAAACATTTTTTTAACATGTGTTACATCACACTTAATTTTCTGAAAACTCAAGAAATTCAATGAGATTATTTTTTTGTTTTATCAAAAATCTGCTGTGAATCATAAAATAAAAAATGCAATAAAACTATGACATTATTTAATTAGAGAAGCTTTTAATTGCTTTTATGAATAATATATATTAAGAACCAAATTATCTTAAGAAAAATGTTTTTTCAATGGAAAATGAATTTTTAAAAGTATTTTTTTCATTTTATTATGATTTTAATTATAATAATTTATAATATTTTTAAATCATTTAAAATTCATTTTCACTGGTGTAACTCTTAGGAAATACTTTTATTAAGTAAAACTATATTTACTAATCATATATCATAACGCTTATTGCAATCTGATGACCCTAAGTATTTTTAAAAGAATTTTGAATTATTTTTATATGTATAAAAGTACCGATTTTTATAAATACTGTCACTCATACATGACATTATCAGAAAATAAGTGCAATAACTATAGTAAATTTAGAGCCAAAATTCTCTAAAATTCAAAAAAAATTGTTACAAATCCATTTTAAATGTTAAGTATCACATTTTTGTGGAGGTACATAATTTAATCTTTAAACTGTAATCTCTATGTCCTGCAGCTATTATTTTATTTGCTTGAAATTTGCCCAATTTGCTAATTTTAATCAAGACAACATTTATACTTACGCGTTCTTTTGCAGGTTTTGCAGATTCTTCCTTATGAAGTGCAAGTACTTCCATTAATTTGTCAATCTGGTAAAAGAAAAAAATAAAGAAAAAGGACAAATTTAATAAATATGTATACTTTTTTTTAATATATCCACATAAGAAATGTTTGGCTTACTCTAGTTTAGAACAAGGTCACAAGGGCAGGTAACTTAGTAAGAAGTAAACCAGAAATGATAGCACACCGTGAGTCTAGCATTTTAACCATTGATCTATGGCAGACATCTGGTAGTTGCTTATCAAATTGAATTTGGCACAGGGCCACAATAATTAGATACCTAAAAAGGATTGAAAAGTTGGTTGATTGATTTTGTCAATTTGTTGAAGGAATGAAAGTAATTTACAAATTAGTAATTCCAACTTTAGTACAAGGTCAGCAGGGATCAAATAAAACAGAATAAGATAAAACTGTCAAGTATTGTACTTGGATAATTATTAAGCTTAGATTGGCATAAGGTCAGATTAATGGATCAAAAAGTAATGATCAAATTCAATGAGACTAACAATTCAGATAACTTATATATATGTATTTATCTTTAGAAATCATTCAAAATGAAAGTTATATATAAGTGCAGTACGCACCGATTTTAGTGTGTCTAATGTCATACGAGAAGCATGACCAACTTCTTTAGAATCTTCTCCGGGAATCTATAAAAGGTAAAAGAAAAAATAAACAAACAATAAAAATAGTGAAAAAATATTCAGGTACAATAATAATAAAAAACACATTTACAGGTTAAACAGACATCAATTATTCTATATGAATATCTAAGTTTACAAGATGATAAATATTTCTGCTAAAATTTTAATTTTTATAAAAATCATCACAGATAGTTCTGAATAACAAAAAAAACAAAAAAAAAAAACGACTTGAACAAAAAGAAATAATTTATATCAGAATTTTTGAGATGAGAAGAAATAATAATAAAGAGGAGGAGGAGAAAGAGAAGAAAGTGAAAAATTATTATTATCCAGACATCTGGAAAAGACAGGATAGAACAATGGGCGAAACATTGAGTATAACAACCAAAATAAGCATGCTGGTCCAAAGAATAAAGCATAGGTTGCAAAGATCAATGATCAAACATAAGCTGCAACCCATTGGTTATGGCTATTATATATTTTTAAACAGTTTAAGATATTGTTGAAATATCTTGATTCGATTGTAATAAAACTCTGAAAGCTTGCCTAATTTTAGGGTTATCATCTGATAAAGACTGTTTGAAAGCACTATGACAGATATGTAGAAATCTGTATTTAAATTAAAAAACAAAAAACATTGAGATCTATTTGCAAGCCATAAAGGATAAAGTATTCTAAAACCATTATCAATTGTTTTATGTAGAGATTTTAGCAAGAAACATTTCAGTTCATCACAAATCGGTTGTAGTCCCAGAAATTTAAAAGCAATATAAAAAAAAAAAAAAAAAAAAAAATTAAAACACATTTAAAAGATAGAAGTAATGTTTTATAATCATTGCTATTATCTAAAGTCAGATGAAACTAGGAATTGCTGTTGCTCTTCTCAGACAACAGCATGATGTCTTATCAACAAGGAAAGTGGAGTTGGTGAGCTCTGTTCAAATTCTGGTCAATTTCGTTGCCTTCATTTCAAACTAATGCCCTAGGGAAAGGTATGAGTCCATCTCTTCTCTCCTGGCTATGGGTTAAATAGTAAGGTAGTCTGTGTTCTCTAGCCTTAGATGGCAGCCAATCTGACTACTACTACTTTGAATTCAAAACCACAGAGAAGGCAACAAGAAGCCAAGTTACTATAGTTCCAAAGCAAAGTCATGGCAATTAACATTTAATAAAGAAAAGGAATCTGTATAGAGTGATGATCTCCTAGATACTGAAAGAACTCGGCACAGTAAATGAAGAAAAAGAAGCTTTGGAGAGCCATGACCACCTATGTACTGAAGGGACATGGTATTAAAAATATATTCTACTTCACTATCTTTCCAAAGAAGTCATGGCAATTCACACATAATAAAGAAAAGGAATTTGTAGAGTGATGATTGTCTACATCCTGAAGATGTGGAGTTCCACGATCACCTATATCCTGAATGAACATGGCATTATATATATATATATATATATATCTCACACACACACACACACACACAATGGTTGCAGTGTCTGGGGAGTTAAGTGGTCAGATGTAATGATGGGTGATGTGGTTGCAGAAATTGTCTGACAGCCACAACTGGGTTCTCCTGCTTGTGTAGTGTGGTGCAGAGTCTTGTTGCTAGACAGTGCCTTCCAGCAGCCACCCTCTTGACTCAGGGCAGCATTACCTCTTCAAGGGCCTTGATGTAGGCCACCATGTTGAGTTTGAGGCCCTGTGGAAAGATGAATGGAGTCATAGTGATCACTCCAAACACTATGATATTGTCTAGCTATATCATCCATCTCTTTCTGAATACTCTGCACGGTCTTCAAATTGACACTCAAACACACTGAAATGTTTGCATTGGAGCTTCTGGCACGAATGCCAAGCAGTACAGCATGCGGTTTCCAAATTTCTGGTGGAGTGAATTGCATCATGGGGATCTTTTTTTCTCACAGACAGTGCCCAACTGATCCTACTATATTGTGCAGTTGACAAAATCAAAAACAAACAATGTGCATGCACAAAAATTAAAAGTATAAAATGGCAACAATTTACTCATCGCACCCTCTGTGTGTGTGTGTGTGTGTGTGTGTGTGTGTGCATGCGTGTATGTGTATCTCTGAATAAAGAGAAAGAACAGACAGATTAAGAATCCATCATTCTTAGTATTTACTTTTTTTTTTTTTTTTTTTAAAAAGTGCTCAATACAACAGAGCAAATTCTAATAATAATATTTTTATTATGAAATATTTTATATCGCTACACAAAACTTTCTAAGTTTCAGAACTTTAAAAATTGTTCCATCATCAGGCAATGCTGGGTAACTCATGATGCAAATGATTTACTTGGGAAATCAGAAAATAATTCGATATTTTATTTGAGAATTAAAAAGGAGGTGGGGAAACCAAGATTCCAAAATTTTGTGGGCATGTCTTGGTTAACCAATCAAAAGATGAGTCAAAGCTAAAATAGAAAAGTGAAAAATGAGGTTAAAAGTTAGGGGTAGGTGGGCCATTATATATTAATAAAATAATGGATATATAATTGTAATGCGTAGATTTTTTATGAAAAATTCTATTAACTATATTCTAAAGTAAACATTATACAGTACCTACAAATTACTGTTAATTTATTTTGCCGATTTAGGAGATCATTATTTTTAGGAAACTTTATAATAAAAATAATGATCTAAATCAATGAAATGCTTAACAGTAATTTGTAGGTATTGTATAATGATTACTTTAAAATATAGTTAATAGGATTTTTCATAAAATATCTACGCATTATAATTACATATCTATTATTTTATTAATATATAATGGCCCATATAATATTTATTTAATTCTTTGATTTTTCAATTTTAATATTGTCATGTATTATTGCCAATCAATATAATAAGTATCGTATTTTGGGTTCAAAATATATATAAAAATGATTTAATCACACTAGTTCTTAAATATATAAAAAAATTTTTATTTAAAAATCTTGAAATTCTTTAAAATTAACCTTTTGTTAAATATATCTGTCTACGTCACTGTATCTTAAATTTATATTCTTAACCAAATGTTGTCTGTGCTGATGTGCCTTAAAAGTGTCAATTTATCTAGACATGAATCAATAACCCACCTACCCCTAACTTCTAACCTCATTTTTCACTTGTCAATTTTAGCTTTGATCAGTCTTTTGATTGGTCACACCAGACATGCCCATAAAATTTTGGAATCTTAGTTTCCCGCCTCCTTTTTAACTCTCAAATAAGCTGAATTGTTTTCTGATTTCCCTAGTAAATCACTTTCATCATAAGTTACCCTACATCACCTGATGATGTAACAATTTTTAAAGTTCTGAAACACAGAAATTTTTGTATAGTGATGTTAAATATTTTTATAATAATGTGTGTAAGATAAAAAAAAATATACATACATGCACATATAAATATATTTCTTCCACATGTGTTATAAATACAGTGCTCAATGTTATGTGACAGAGCTATAAGTATATATTAATGAAACTCAGTTGTGCTATCAACATTGGATATTATGTATATTCACTTATATATATATATATATATATATATATATATATATATATATATGTGTGTGTGTGTGTGTGTTTGAATAAAAAGAATAATATACAAGCCAGAAAAAATAAAAATATACAAAAAAATAAAATACAATAAATAAAAATATACAATATATTCTTTTGCAAGCCAGAAAGAATAAATTATTCTAAAATCATTATCAATTGTTTTATGTTGAGACAAATCAGTTGCATTCTTAGAAATTTAAAAGCAATATAAAGGAAAAAAAGAATTTAAAATTAATATTCATTTAAAAACATTTTATAGTCATTTCAATTTTCAAACTTGTCAGAAACCAGATGAAGCACAGATATTTTTGCTGATCTCCTTAAACAACTGCAACAGTGAAGATTATCAATAACATAAACAAAAACATCTTTATCCACTTACTTGGAGTTCTGTTTCCTCATATTCTTTGTCTAATTCTTCTTCACGTTCCTAATAAAAAAAAGAGAGAAAAGACAAAAACAATCAAAAGTTTTGCTTTGATTATAAGCAATTGATACTGTCTGAAGTTCTGAAATGAAGTATTGTTATCCCATAAGTTATTTAAACTTTTGTTGTTTGGATCACAATATTTCAGCCAATGTGTTCTCTAGCCTTCCCCAGGTTTATATTTCAAGTTGTAATCCTTGAGTGTCATATAAAATTATGACTTCCTTGATGAATTTTATTTTAACATCAAGAAACTGATTAGAGAACTGGAATGTATCAGTATAAAAATAAATATATATGTCTATATTATTCAACAAAATATATATTACACACACACCTTTATAACGGTAGAAGTTACAAATATAGAAAGTAAAAAGAAAGTCACATTCTTTATTTTATATGATACAAGGAATTTTTAATTTGTTCTCTCTAGATTTGATTTTTCTTTTCATGACTACAATACAATAACAATAATATTAGTAGTTGTAATTTAGTATGATCAAATACTGGGTAGGTTTCATCCCTAGCTAAAAGAGCTACACCTGTTCTGGTTTTGTGTTAGACATTCCTTTTATCCTACAGTACACAATATTTCTAGAAAGAACTTCTGAAATCTGACAGATTTTTTTATATTTTTAAATAAAACTTGTCCTCCTTCCCCCAATTCCAATACATAATTTTATCTCCCTCTTTCCCCATTTATTTTGGCTTATCTCTATGTATTAGACTCTTCTGACCACATGGTAGAAATAATATTTTCCATTATTTTAAAACTGAAAAAAAAAAAAAAAAAAAAAAAAAATGCTTTTATTTATTTATGCCTTAATTTATCATGCAAATAAATGTAAATAGTAATTTTGCCATTGTACTGAAATGATAAAACATTAAAAATTTAAATACTGCCATCATTTGATGGCATGGGTAAACTAATATTAAAATAAGAGGCATAGAACAACACTGAAGAATAATGTTGTTATGCCAAAATCATCAAATCAGTAGACAGAGCATGGATATAAACACCAGATAAGAGCCTGTAATTCATAGATATAGATATTGGTTAAGCTGATATGGTTCTGAGAAAGTTGCAAGTTCAATCCTTAGACAAAATAGTGCAGAAATACACACCAGAGCAAAAGAAAAACAGATTAACATCAAAAGGAAAAAAAAAAAAAGATGGTTACAAGTTCTGAAATTTCCTATGAAGGACCTTGAAAATGATAAAGGAATGAAAATAAATTCATGTGAATAAAATAAAAGGTTTTATGCAAAATTACTGCCGAGATACCAGAAGGCTTGAGTGTACAGCAGCCAAAATATTCAGATAAAAAAAAAAAAAAGAGAAAACTGGTTCTAAAGAATTATGCTAGACATTTATCCCAGAAATTCAGATAAATTATATTTCTTTACTGTATAAATATAAAATCACAAAAGAAAAAAAAAAAAACATTATTTTGACTACAATTCATATTGATTTTTATTTATAGAAATATTTACTTTTTCTTTTTCTTCTTCTGGAATCACAATTTCTTCGGTCTTCTCCCAGAGACGTATTGTTTTGTCATGAGAAGCTGTTGCAATAAAATTACTGCTGGAACTGACTGCAAGGCAACGGATTTCATCTTGATGTGCCTAAGCATTAAAACAAAAAAGACAAAGCAATTTAAAGTCTGGTGACTAACATAAAAAATAAATATTCAAATACCCACATTTCAGAAAATACACCGGAAAAGTTAAAAAAGATTTATCATTTCTTTTAAAGCATCATTCTGGTGGGGAAAGTTTAAGGGTGGGGGGAACTGATCTATTTAAGCAGTCTGGCACAAAGCAGAATGAGAATTTGCGAAGAGTGAGGATTGTGTTACACATACATATATATAATAATAATAATAATATGTATATATGTATATGGGAGGCACGGTGGAGTAGTGTGTAGCGACTTGGAGAGCTGAGTTCAAATTCCAGTTGAATCCATTACATGCTAATACTCTTGGGAAAGGTATGAATCCTCCTCTTCTCCCTCCAGCTATGGGTAATTAACAGGACAGACCAGGTTCTATAGCCTTGGATGGCAACTGGTCTAGGAGAAGGACAACTTTGAATTCAAAATCTGCAGAAGGTTGTTTGGGAACCTTGTGACATGTAGGGCACCAGGTCTCTGTATTCAGCCCTTCAAAAAGTGTGGTTGGTTCTGCACGAAACCTTCACCACTATAATCAAATCATGTGTGCTGGTGTCTGGATGTCAGTTCCTAGGAACTGAGTTACTGAACATCATGCATTGAATACAATAGGAGAGTTCACCATATATATATATATATATATATATATATATATATACATACATACACACACACCCCCTTCATATTATACAGCATCATTTTTGTTCAACCACTGGAGATGTTCATGACAATGCTATAAGGTGTGGAAGTCTAGCTTGTAGGTATGCATGTTTACAAAATTAAACAATTCACAATGATCTTTAGTAGTGTTTCTCAACCTTTTTTTTTTTTTTTTTAAACTTTGGGATGCAGTTGTAGAACAACTCTGAGGTGCACCTTTAATTTTAATAGAGAAAAATTATTCATTAAATTTGAAAATAGGAAAATAAAGATGTGTCCTGAAATAAATATTTATTTTTAAGACATTACATTGTATGTTTAAGTCTGCTTGTGTGAAACCTTTGCTTGGGTAAAGAAGAAAATTACCTTATCATTTTTGATTTAGCTTTCCTCAAAGAGGATTAGCGGTACAGTTTTTATTTAAATGGGTTTATGAAGAATCTGCCATTTCTTTTATAGAGGCTGATAATGCCTGATTTAAATCCCTTGAGGAAGGCAAAAGGGAAAGCATTATATGCTCCTTACATATTAAGGAATTCATCATCCAGTTTAAAATATCAAATGACAAAGACTTGACTTAGACATCGAAGCCATGTGCCTGATATCTCTAGCTCTTTAAACATAAGGCTTTTTAAATATAAAAATAATTAATAAATTACTCTCCTGTTAACTTGGAGGTGAACCTGGATATCCTCCAGGGTGCATTAGTGTGTCTAGGAACACCAGTTGAGAAATGCTGGTTTATATTGACATGCTTGAGGTCACAGTTACTCTGTTCTGAAGATACCATGGTTCTACTATTGCTGCCCTTATAATGCGTCAATCCTGGTAAGGATCAGTACTGCATGACCATCCAGAACCAGGTCTACAAGTGCAGAAATATTAATTTCCCCACTGTTGTCAACACAGAATTAGATTTTCAATCTCATCAAATAAAATCACCAAGCTTGCATAGTTTGTTAATGTTAAATGATTTAAAGAAAAAAGAAAAAAATTGAGTAACTGGTTGGTGTTTGATGACAATTTACCTGTAATGTCAAAATAGGTAAGAAGTTGTCTCCATCCCACTGTCGGATTTTTTTGTCTTTTCCACATGAGAAAAATATGTGAGTATTTGGTATAAACTTTACACATGTGACACTGGAAGGAAAGAAAAAGTAAAACTTGATTTCAGAGAAAAACAAAATAAAATAAAATAAAACAGTCATTTATTTTTTTGAGCAACTATCAGAAACACTTATTTTTAATGCAATATAGAATATAGTAAACCAACCTAGCCCCATGCTTAATGATGATACTTGGAGTAGGAGAAAGCATCACAAATCAAAATTATGAGTTAGACCAAAATTGCTTAATATTTTTTTTTAACAATATAAAAGTTTAATATTTTTAGATGATATATAAAATTTACATACATAATTCTGTGTAAAAATTTCCAATGGAGTATATCTGTAAAAGGACAATATGAATAAAGACAAAAGGAAAACTTAGCCGACATGTTTAGTCCTCTGAGGGACTTTATCAAATCCTTACATTTGCCTTAATAAAGTCACTTAGAGGATGAAGCACATCATTCAAGATAAGTTTTCTTTTTGTCTTTATTCATACTTCATTTTCTAAAAATAAATAAAAGTAAGAGAATAATTTTACATAGCAAACTAGACCCCACCATGAAAACATTTTGAAAAATAAAAATATGATTATTTTTGGTCACAGTGCTGATTGTCCAACTCCACCTAATATTTAAACTCAAAAATTCAGACTTTAATATGTTCGAAAGTAAAGATGGCAGATTATAAGATGATGGTTGCAAATAACCAGTTTCATTAAAAGGTGGAGAAACTTCATAAAAATACATTAACAGTTTTTACTCACCTGCCGTCATGAGCAAAGAATGATTTGTGACAATCACCAAAATCTGATCCCCACAATTTGACATCTCTGTCAGCAGAACCTGTGACGATGCATTCACTGTCTGACGATATATCCAAACACAGGACTGGCATACTGTGTCCATACAGTGATACAAAAAACTGTAAAACAAAAAAAGAATGTAAATATTTTATCAATTTTCCTTTACCTTGATTAACATGAATAATACGAACCAAAAATAAATAATGAGGTCACTATGCATATCAGGTGTCAAACAAAAGAATAATGAAAGAAAAAAGGACAAGTGGCACAGGAAACAGAATTAGCAAATATAATTTAAATTTCAGGTGAGACTCTTTAGCTTCACTTGGCACTGATACCTTTGGGAAAGGCATGAGTTATTGATACCTCGTCTCATCACCAAACAAAATTCTTGAAACGGTATAATAGTTAGCTGCTCATTTGAGTAAAACTTGCCTGTTAGGATATCTAGCTAATCCCTGTTGTAGACTCCAGCTCAGTCACATTTGTATTGCTTCAACATTCCCCAGAACCAACCTGTGATTTATATTGTAACTATGCTAAGTGAATCTTAGCTACAGTTTCTGATAGACAGCGCATAAGCTGGTGATCAGTAGTTGAACAAGGCCAGTATACTCAAACCCTCAGTCACAATTAGGTGTGACTTCTTTTTTTTTTTAGCACAATCATCAACAGCCTTTGAACAGTTTTGTTAACCCAATTTTACTTATATGGCTTGGGTCAACATAGGGTGTTATTTACAAGCACTTTTCAACAGTGTCACACACTGTGATTGCTTTTAACGCTGGTATTATCAAGAAGTCACCTCCGTGACCAATTGCCCCTGGTGTGATTCAAATCTAGGTCTCAAGGTAAAAATGCTAACAGTCTAACCACTCAGCCATGAGTTCATAATGATCTAACCACACAGCCACTAGTCCATAATACATGGTATACCATAGCACTGGTATACCAAAATGAAAAAAGCTTAGGTGGGTCAGAGATTAATTTCTACTAGTTGTACTGTGTAATATGATAGTTGGGAAGGAGATGGCTGGTGCTAAATGATTTTTCTTTTAACACTCTAAAATATCATAAAAGACAAATGTTCAGAATAGCATCCCAATGACCTTTGGCTTACAGGACCAATAAAAAAAAAAAAAAAAAAAAAAAAAATCAAGTAAAATGTCCTTAATTAACCATATTTGATGACACGACTCCCACCTCCACAAAAAAAGGTTAAAAAAAAAAAAATTATTTTATTTTATTTTAGTCTTATCAGCAAAGATGAGATATCTGATAGACTAATATTTACTCAAACACCATAGACTACTTGTATCAGGACCTAACCTAATTCCATAATTTTTTTTTTTTTATAATAATATTCACCCTGTAGAAAGCCCAAGAGCCGCTCAAGGTAGGGGGCTACAGAGTAAGAGGCACAGTGTGGGTGATTCAGTTCGCCCGTTGTTTGCAATGACTGAAATGATTTAAAGTGCTTGCTTTCATCTAGTCCTCCAGTCTACCAACTGAGCTGCTGCTAGTGACCTCTTATTCTCTCAGTCTTATTAGTATGCACGTATGCCGTCACGCCAACAAAATGTTCTCTCGTCTTCCTTTCAGACTTGCTTATTTATGCCCGTGTCGGGGGCAACTACATTTCTTGTTCACCCAAGACTTCCGGTTTTATAAATTTAAGCTGGTTAGAATTCTTAGTCTTTTTTTATTTTTAATTTTTTCCCCTACTTAATTCTAAATGTAATCACCTGTGTTTGGTCACTGGTGATCTGTGTTCAAACTACAGTGTCAGCAGCAACAAGTAAAAGATGTCAAAAGAATAACTATAAAAAAAAAAAAAAAAAAAAAAAAAAATGGTACACTTATTGAAACCAACACATATATATTAACCTTTAACTCCCCTGTAATACCCAGGGACATAAGAATTGGATATTCGATACCAAAAGTGGAGACCTACATACCAATGCCATTTAGGTGTTACCGATTTCAAAGATACGGACACCACAAAGAAACTTTTAGATTTGTTTTCATCTCTTCCAGGGTGCATAATGAGAGTTCATGGCTTCTCACTACTCCTTTGGATGAATTTAAGGTTTCGTGTAGGTATGTTTGGATTTTTATCTTGTCAAAGTTTGTTCAGTTTAATATTTTTTTTGCGTGTGTATTTTTGGATACTTTGATTAGTATTGTTCCATTCTTCATTTTTTTCACAGATTCTGGTTTTTGGATGTCAGTTGAGATAATTTTCTCTATTTTAAAAGGAGATATTTTGGTAAGAGGAGTATTTTCAATAGATTCTAATACTATGAATTGATGATGCATTAGTTCATGCTCTGTCTCGTTGTCTGAGCTTGATTCGATATAGGGTCTTTTTGTTGCTTTTTTTTGTTGCTATGTGGATTTATTTTTTTCATCTCTTTTGCTCTCCATGGAGCCCAGCTGTGGGAGATATTAGGGGGGAAGCCCATTCGCCCTATTTTCTCAGGGATACAAAAGAGGTATACTCATATCAGTAGTATTTTTGCCAGCATTTCCAGTGTTTTTGTTTTCTTACTCCTGTTTTTATGAAAACTTTTATTTACTCCTTCATGTGGCTGATTTTTACATACTAATTGATTGACCCTTGCCATCACCTTCTGACACTTATTTGGGGAATATCACGTTGTTTTGAAATAGAGTTTGAAAGATATTTTTTTTTGTGAGGATTTTGTTGGCGTGACGGCATACGTGCTTGACATGACTAGCCGATTGGTCAGATCGGACCTCTCCGACCTCTCGTCTAGCCCAGGTAAAGGTGTGTTGCAGGTTCGTGACAACTTTTCACCTGAGTCACGACCTGCTCAACTGCTAGGATCCTGTCCCCAGGCGTCACGGGTCACCACCGACAGCCAACAGGTGGCCCCGTTGAGGGACTTTTAACCTCTGCAGGGGTGCTGTCGATGTATTCTGAAGCCCTGCTGACAGGGCAACAGAAATGTTTTCCAGCATCGTTAGCAATGGATCGTGGGTACTTTACATATTGGATTGAACTTAAGCCTCAATAGCATAGGGCCTCCCTGAGAGAACATTCATCGCGATAGGCCAAAATTCGAGGTCTGTTTGATGAAGATGGAGCTTCACTAGTTTGGTTTCTGAGACACTGAATGTGACCAGCTAGTTTTTCCCTTACTGAGCTATTAGAGCTAGGTCAGTGGAATGATCAGCTATCAGGCTCTGGACATCTAGACTTTTCGAGGTGTGCCCATATACCATTGTATCATCAGGATAGATATTCACAAATGATTAATTAAATGTAAATAGTAAATTATACACCATTAAATAGACTTATGAATAAGAGGAATCAGAAAAAAAAAATGCAGTGGTTCCACTAGTTTATAGCCATTACCTTCAATGTGTCAGTATAAAACAATTTTACTGTGTTGTCCATGAGAGCCACACATACCAGCAGATTATTGGGGCTGAAAGAAAAAGGAAGAACAAAAACTAACAAAAAATTACATCAATTGAGACATTTTTCATATCTTGTAAATAAAAATAAATCTTTGGTAAGTCGTATAGTGTAGTGTCCAAATGTATGGTGTATGAGGTGTAAAATGAGAGCATGGAAAAAGATTATGCTTAATCAAGCTGACTACTTGTTGGTTATTGGTTTGGGTTTGTTGCATTGATAGTGAGGCCTGTTCTCTTTCTGTGGTTTGGTTAGTTTGGTTTATTTTATTTAACGGCAGATCAACTGCAATGGGTTATTTAATGCCAACAAAATTTTTAGGATAGATTCGTATGAATAGAATATGTATTCTTTGGTTTAGATTGGTTTGGTTTATTTTGTTTTATGGCATATCAACCTCAATTGGTTATTTAATGCCGACAAAATTTTTATTGCTGGTAATGGTTTTGTCAAAAATCTGTTTCTGGTAATATATTTCCTTCAAAATTGTATTGCTGGAAATAATTTTTTTCAAAAAAGTCTTGCTGGTAATAGTTAACTATTTGCCCATAGCTGGGACCCTAACAGGTGCTACCACTCCAGGTCAGGGTGGACCTGGGAACACCAGCAATTAAGAGGTGGTTCCACACTTCTCAAAACCTCCTGATCAGAGGCCTTGCTGCTGGACATAGTTTAACATCTTACCCAGGACGCGGATGTAGCTTAACATCTTACCCTGGACGAGTTCTCTGTGTTCACAGGAGATTGTTTTCACAGTCTAATGGTTGGACAGGCAGTCAGTCATGCTCTCAAGTAGCCTCTATGGTTAGTGTGTGTGTGTGTGTGTGTGTGTGTGTGTGTGTGTGTGAAGTCTCTCTTTTTGCTGTCTGCCCTGTCTATATAAGGGAAATACACGGATGTAGTTGTAGACATATGTGGCAAGCAAGAGTCACATCGATAATGGCCAGTACTGTGGTATATTTCTGTTCGTTTTAAAATTCGTTTTGAGTAGAGTGTGGTATAGTGTGACTTAGCTAGATGAAAATTGGTGTGTGTAGTTAGAGATGTTTTCTAATCTCTATCTATAAAAGGCAGGATGTGTGTGTAACGAATGCATGGACGCAATTTTCGATGGATTTGCACCAAAATTTACATGCACATGCTCCAAGTTAACGGGAAGGCCAAGACTGACTTTGCATTTCCCAACTCCCATCGATAGTGGAAATAATCGATTTTTTCATGCTTCTACGGCAGTTTTCATGTAGTTTGCAGCCATTTTCTATTGGCCAAAGTGAGAACCTATAGCTGGCTGCCACGAATAGGCAGGAAGATTCTTTTGGCCAGCGTGAGAGCCAACAGCTGACTGACATTGTGTTAACTAGCATGCAAAAAAAAAATCAATAGCTGCATTTGTCACAAGTGGGAAAAATTTAAATCTGCATGACACTTGACTCCAATTGGCTCATTAAACACTTAAACTCAACGTTGATTCTGATTCCATAGAACTGGGCGGGGTGTGAAAAAAGTATTTGTTGTTAACATTCTTTTTTCATTCGGTTTTTCCAATTCCGAGTCCTTTTTTAAAGCTGGTCGTTTTGTGTTCATTTTGTTTAGTTCTTTTTTTTTTTTTTTTTACAGATTTAATGTTTAGTATAGAGCTTAGAAAAAATTCACAGTATGAGATAGGCAAGAAGTAAGGCATGTAGCAACATCAGCACGGCAAAGGGCACTCCTTTAAAGGCAAGGAAGGGCAAAAATATTTTAAGTCAAGTGATAGCAATTGCTGTATGATTCGTACGATTTTTAAATCAAGCACGGGCAACACCAGGCCATGCTACTAGTAACTGTATAAATTTAGCCTAATTTGTTATCTCTAAGTATATGAAAATTGTGTTTTTTCTGCTACCATATTACAACTGGATTACAGTAAATATCCAATGCTAGGTTTGTGTGATGCAAGTTAATGTTTTCACAACAATACTGATGTGAACCAACCAATACTGTTAAAAAAATTCCTGGATATATTTATATGATAAATATACAATTGTGAATTTCACATTAAACATCTGTTTCAAATTAGAAATATTTACGATAAATGATTTGGTGTTGTGAGATTTTATTATACAATTCTAGGGTTGTTCAACATGCCTAAACCTGTATGTATGTATACTCTATGATAATATATAATGACATAATCAAAAATAATTCAGGAAGTTATGCAAACAGTGAGACTTTGAGAGCTGATATGGGGGTGGGTTTGGGTGTGTTGAATTCAAATAGTTATAAATAAAAAGGTTAATGGACAGAGTTGAATCAAACCAGGAAACAGTAGTATTAAAAAGTGTTCAATACACTTGAGAAAAAAAATAAGCAAAAATAAAAATTACATGTAGAACCTTCAAGTTTAAAAATCAGGAGGTCAATTAAAATACACAAGCATGGTTTTGACCTAACAGTATCTTCAGGCAATACTTTTAAAAGCATTAAGGTGGTCATTTTAAAAGTATCGACCGAAGAGACCGTCAGATTGAAACCATGGTTGCATATTTCAAGTGACCCCCTGATTTTTAAAGTTTATATATATATATATATATATATATATACATACACACACACACACACAAATAAATATAAATTTAATCCCTCACTGGTAGCACAATTGAACAGAGATATTGATATATATCTTTTTAATTTCAGATAAATATTTTCATGGGTCATAAGATATAACCTCAAAAAAGAAACAAGATATTGTAAAGTTACTAAGAGATGGAGTGCATTTGAATTTATGAAAAAATTAAACAGAAATCAAGGAATAATCAAAAGAGAAATTGAGAACAAAAAAAAATAAAAAATAGTTTTACGAATGTCAGAAAAAGATTTGAGAAAAATTAAATGGCTAATGAACAAGAAAAGTGGATTGATTACCAAGAAAATATTTGAAGAAGTTGGTGTCACAAATATAAAAAGAGAGAAAATATGTGGAATATGAAGAACATTGGTTAAAGACATAAAGACAACCAACCTACCACCTTTAAGAAAACATCACAAAGAAACATGCAGTGGGTGAAGAAATACATGAAGACTGATTTCTCAGTCATTTTTATCGATGCATTCCATTGTTGTTTATTGGAAGTGTAAAGACCTTTATCTTTGTTGGATAGGTGAGGTTCCTTGTTGTCAAAATTGTATATCAATTTATGTCGAGTTTTGTGAATTCTTGGCAACTTTTGTAAGTTATTCTTGGTTATTGACTCTCCTGAGAACTATCTAAGAAGCAAATAACACCTCCCACTGACTCGGTAGGTTTCTTCATATATTGTCCTACTAGCCATTTCTCATGACTTACTAAAACAGTTAATTAAATGAGGTGGGGAGATCCAAAATGTGATTAATGTATAGATACATAAAATGGATCAAATAGCTGGTATAGAGGTTGCATCCTTCATAAGAATAGTTAAGCAACATAACTTAGAAGACAGGGAGAAACTGGAGTAATGGTTTGGGTTAGAATTACAAGCAGCAAAATTATTGGTCCCTTCAAGATTGATGGTAATATAAAATTTTAATGCTGTGAATTATTGCAATGTTTTGGATAAGATTTTTTTTGAGTGATACAGGTCACAACCAAGAAGCATTTGTTTAAACAATTCATATTTATAAAGTTTGAAAGATACTAAATGTAATGGACACTGGATTGTCCAGGTATTAATCTAATCAAAAAAATAGTGGTCCACCATTAAAAGAGACAAATATGATAATGGAAAAAATATTAAAACAAAGACGATATCTAGTAAGCAATACAATTTGCTGTATGTTGAAGCCTGAACAATAGAAAAGTTAACAAAAAAAAAAAAAAAAAAAAAAAATCAATGAATACAATGTGTTCTATACTAAAATTGTTTTTTTTTTTTATCATTTTAAACATTATTTTTAGTGGATACTCATATTTCAGTTGACACTCCATTTATTTATTAAACAGTATATTTATTTGTTTTCATTTATTGGCCTGAATATTTGATTTGAGAAATCTTATTAAAGAAAAATTTACACTCTCTGGCAGGATTTTTTTCTTTAATAAGTTTTTCTTGAACATTCAGGCCAGTAGACATAAATAAACATACTGTTTAATAAATAAATGGTGTCTACTCAAATACAAGTATCCACTAAAAATAAATGTTTAAAGTGATAAATAATGGTATTTAATAAAAATCCATTACTTTCTTTAGAAAAAAAAAAAAAAAAAAAAAAAAATCACTAAAATTTTTATAATGCAATATATTAATTAAAATAAAATGTCTAATTGTTCTATGTTCTATACTAAAATTGTTATAATGTGACAACATTTAAATGCTAAAAAATGTTACAATACAGAATTCAAGCTGAAATTGTCTGATTTTATATTTTTATAATTTTGCAATTATAAAAAGTATTTGTATAAAAAATATTAGACAAATAAACTTGCTAAATGTTATCAATGATCATCAAGGTTAAAATATTAGACATTTAAATTATCTTATAAAAAAATAACTGATTATTTTCTTAGGCAAATATATTTATATAGATACATGTTGATAAGGGTAGCTGAGCCTTGCTTCACTGTGAAGTCCTTTGTAGTTGAGTGGTGTAAAAGCATGCTAGGCCATAAGGTGGTGTCTCCTATATAAAAGGGATGTAGGTTTGAACCCTGTTAAACATTTTATTTATCAAAAACTTTTGAAAAACCCAAGTCAGTAAACCTGAATTATTCTGTTTAAAAAAAAAAGAAAAAGAAGTAAACAGCCACTAAATATAGCATTTATAATAATGAGAAATACGTATTGATAATGCATCAAGTACTGAACAAGACTGTTCTTTCATTGCCTTTTACAAAAGAAAGGATTTTACTAAAAGCACATGATAATTAGAAAAGCTATTAGAATGATTTTCTGTTACATTATCTATGGAGATCATAGAATGCCTAAGTTCATTTTTGGTTTGTAGAATTTGTAGTGAACAATTATTTGTCAAATGATTCAGAGATTGCTTACCTATAACTCACAGCTAAGACACCTTCATCCATTTGCAAAGTCCTTTGATGTTGTAAGGTCAATTGTTTACTGAAAAAAAAAAAAAAATTATATCAAAAATTTATTGCTTTTTTTAAAATACATACTTTTACTTTAAATCATATTCCATGTACATACTAAAGACTATCTATGACTCCTCTATGTGCGTGAGTGTGTGCACATATATAATTTATTTTTTGAAATGGACTTTACTTCGAAGCATATTCCATGTACATATCTAAAGACAATCTGTGTGTAATATATATATATATATATATATATATATATATATGAGGATTTTCTTTTTCTGATGGAAGAAAGGGATACAGTTCCAATTCCTCTTAGAGGCACAGTTTTTATTTCATAGGGCTTCTCAATCTAGGCTGGTTGTTATTAATTTCACTATTTAAGAAAATAAAAAAACAGGGATAGTAACTCAAACACATGTATCAACTAAAAATAATGTTTATAGTAATAAAAAAAAGTTATATAATGCAGCATATCTTCATTCAAACATGTTTAACTGAATAATATAGACATATTGTGTCTACTTATTTTTCTATTGATCCTTTCCAGTTGTCTAATCAGTTTCTTGATGTTAAGATGAAATACATCAAAGAAGGGGCTGTAACTTTTTTTTAACCCAAGTACTTTCAACCTTTTCTAACATCATTTTCAGGGGTAAGTTACAAAGACAAATATGCTATTATGATTGCAATAAAATCTATGTTCTATTGCCATAGTGAGATACACACACACACACATACACGCACACACACACACAGAAGGTGCGATGGATAAATTGTCATCTAAATTATACAGAAATGAAAATGACACTGACATCTCATTTTAACAGATATGTAAAAAATCAAAATTGCACAAAAATATCTTGAAATACTATAGAGTAAATTTATTAAATAAAATCACCACTGGCTTCAACTAGACAGTCTTCCAGCAGCCACCCTCTTGACCCAGGGCAGCACTACCTCCTCAAGGCACTTAATGTAGGCCTTCATGTTGAGTTTGAGGCTCTCACCAACAAATTTGGGAGTTCTTTTCTTATCAGAGCGATCAGAGTGATTTTTCTGAGCTGCTGTACCTTCATAATCACCATTAGACTCATTCAACTCTTTCCAAATCCTCTGCACTGTCCTCAGATTGACACCCAAACACTCTGAAATATTTGTATTGGAGCTTCACAAATGCCAAGAAGTACAGCATGCTGTTTCCAAATTTCTGGCAGGGTGAATTGCTTCATAGTACTCTTTTTCTCATAGATGGTGCCCAACTGACCCTAATATACTGTGTAGTCAACAAAATCAAAAAAAAATGTGTATGCGTGAAATTAAAAATATAAAATGGTGACTGTTTACCCATCACACCCTCTGTGTGTTTGTGTGTATATATATATATATATATATATATATATATATATATATATATCTCAGTCATATTCAGCTGTAGATTTTGTTTCAGATGTTATAATGGCAGATACAAGTACTGAAAGTCAAGCAATTTTGAGATATTATTTTAAACTTGGCCTTAAATCTGCTGGAGTAGAATTGAAGAAATAGAAACAAATGAAATATCCTGACCATACTGCACAAAACTGGTTTAAGCATTTTTACTTCTGTGTCTTGCCCCTTGAAATAAAGTCCAGAAGTTGATGACTATCAACTGTCAATTATGATATTAAAAAAGAACAAAACAAGACATCTGAAATCTTTTAGAAGAGCTTGGTTCATTGACAGATACAATATATAGTACATTACATAAGTTTCAGTTTATATTAAAGTCTGTCAAAAATGAAAGTAATTGTGATACCGTCTAATATCTTATCAAATAGGGCTAACTTGAATTTGAATAATAAAAACTGAAAGGATATATATGCAAACAAGATAGCTTTCTTCTGGGATGTACAGAATTTTATTCATTTACCATTTCAGTGATACATGTCTTACTAATTAACCCATAACTGAGGAGAGAAGAGGTAGAGTCATACCTTTTCCAAAGGTATTTGCACATAAGTGAATATAACTCAATAGGAATTGAAATGTGGTTCTCTGATTGACAATTCCAAGCCATTATCGATTACACCAACCACACACCCAAGCTTACAGCACCTGATATTCCCAAGTGGTTACTCATCTAGTTATTAACCAGGTTCAATGTTGCTTAATTTTGGTGATTGTACAGGAACCATCATTTCAATGTGATGTGACCATAAGCCACTTTATTTTTGAGCTTAGGAAATATCTTTTATGTCAATGAGTAATGATGACATTGGTATGTCATTCAGTAAAAATATTAAAGCTAGAAGTGGAATTTCTAAGATTTTCAGAATATACTTGTACAAACCATGTTGAATGCTGCATTTTTTTCTCCCACCCTGGCCATTACAAAAAATAAATATTAGAAGAATAAACCTCAAAAAGAGAAGAATGATAAGACAGGAATGCAAGATGTTCTTTATTAGAGAATATTGCTTCTGCTGATGTTTTGGATATTAAAATTATATGTAAATGGATGCTTTTGTTCAACAAATTATTCATTATTGATAATCACCTATTAATGGCTATTTTTAATGATTTATAGTTTCTTTTATTAAAAGATTAAACAACTTTCAAAAAAGAACATGTTAGAATTGGCTAAACTGAAAAACTTGATTGGATCATTTACCTTGATGTTTTGTCCTCATTTTCTGTCACTAACCATTCAAAACTCCAAAATTTGATACATTTATCACCACTGCCAGAACAAATTCCATTCTGTAATAGAGGGGAACAAAATTAGTTTGATAGTCTTAAAAAGTCTTTATCATTTGACAAATCTTAGTAGTAGTAGTAATAATAATAAAAAAATTCAAATATTTAGGTATTTTTTTAAAACTTGAAAAAAATTTATCACTTTAAAGAAACAAAATATAAATGGGAAAAATGTTCGATTTTTCTTTTAAATAAAAGCAAAAAAAATGTTTTTGGACATAAAAAGCTGATAATAATTAAGACAAGGAATGGTAAAAAAAAATAATGTTTGAATATTTATTCATTTTCTTTCAATCTCACATACTTTTGAGTGGATATGTTATGGGAAAAGGTGAAAAGAAAAGAAGAGATAATCTTTTTAAAATTTACCTTGTCAGGAGACATATGTATTCCCCAAACTGGTTCATTATGGGCATCAAACGTCTCCAGCAGGGTTGCTGTCGCAATTTCAAACAACTGAAGTTTCCCTGTCTGATAATAAGCAACACTGAATTTAACTTTAAAGGAAATCATGTCACATAAAAAGAAATTAACCTTTAGCATGCAGCATTCCACTGCATTCTTTTTCAAGGCCTTTCAATTGCAATATTCTTACTGTTAATTTTATTAAAAGTTGTTTTCTGTTACCATAGCAGGATATGACAACACAACTATGAAATTCAAACACAATTGTTCAGGGATCAGTCACCTTCAGTGGCAGGATAAACATTTTGTACAGCAAATGAAGTCACATACAGAGTGATAAAGGTTAACAAAATAGACACAAATTATCTTTATTCGGATAGCATGAAAGTGGATCTTTTAAGTTTTACATTTTTATCAAAAAAAGATTATGACGCTTTCCTATCCAGACTTATTTTTAGTTGGTATTTTAAAATAACATTTTCTTCGTTGTTTATTCAGTCAAAACTTCATTCCAGAATTTGAAATCATTTTTCTTTTATGAGCCATGTCCCTTTAGGATATAGGCAATCATGGCTCTCCACAAATCCCTATTTCTTAGCAGTATTTGATTTTTTACTAGGCAAGTGGAAATTTGGGTTTAGAAAAATTAGGAGAGAGAGGTTCTCTAAAACCATGGTTGAATAATAAAAACTTAAAGGATAATGATTCTAAAATCTCAGAAAAATAGAAGCAAATATGGACATGCCAAACAGAATTTGGAATCACTTAAGAGAAATCAACAAGAGAAAAACAAAGTTCAATAAATGGATCTCATCTGAATTGAATGGAAAATATAATCAAAATGGATGGAGGTATATATTCATCATATGTAATAGTACAAAAACTGATCTTTCTTGAATTTGACTTATTTTTGATTTTTCAGTTATTATTGACCATCATTAATGATTTTTTACTAGTATTTACTTTCATCCTGATTCTTTTAGTTGCTTTTTAGTGTAACTTTACTCAGTTTATTAGTCTATAGCAGTGAGTAAAACCTGTTGATCAGAAATACATGATAAGCTCTCAGTGAGATTTGAACTCATGTTCGTTTGCTTTCAAAAGAATCTGGTTAAATACATCAAATACATTATGAGTTATGAGAACAGTTTTTCAGAATATAAAATCTAATCTCCAAATATAACCTTCATTCTTTCTCTTCTGGTCTCATGTTTGTTTTTACACTAGTTATATTAAGAGCAGCAATATTAACATTTTTTTAATTAAAATATTGTCAATCATTATTATCAATCTTTGACTAGTATTTTCTTTCATATTTTAGTGGCTTTTTATCACTTATTCAATAATCACTTAATTTACAGCAGAGAGTAAACAGTGTGGATTGCAAATAAATTAATTAATAAAAGCTTATAATAATTTTTTACAGTATTTCATCTAATAAAAAATAGTCATTATTGTTTCATGAGACTTTTGCACCATTGATCTCATTTTTCCTCAGTTGTTTAATCTATGTAGAAAGAGTGGGCATTTTTTTCATATTGTTTTTTTTTTTTTCTGGAAACTTTTGGATAATGTAACATATTGAGTAAATAATACAATACAAACTACAGTTACAGAGAGAGAAACATTTAAGATTTAATATTAAGATAGGAAAGCATCAAATAAAAATATCTTACCTTTGTACCAATGAGGCAAAGCCGATCACCAGGAAGGAAAAGTGAGCAAAGGGCGTAGTCACATTCAATAGTTGAGATGCATTGTAGGTAAGTTCTGTTCAAGATAAATATAAGAAAATGGCAGTTATTTTATTTACTGCATATCTTTTGGATTATCCTCGTAAATTGATTAAGCAGTAATATTTCATAAGTAATTTCTAATATACAAGAACTCTTTTTATTGATTACTAGTTTAAAAGTCAGACTTTGTACAAACTTTTAAGCTAGATCCTGCATAGGGCTAATTGAGCCCCTAGCCTAAAACTAAGGGGACCTCTGATCCAGCTTAGAAAATAGCAATGATAATTTTAAAGAAATAACTTTGAATTCCTCAATTCACTCCTTGGAACTTCAAAGCCTCACTTTAACTTTGATTTGGGCAATAAGTCCAATTCTGACTGTGGAACTTCAATTGAATCGAGATCTTTAAACCACAAACTCTGTAGAACTTCAAAACCTCATATCACAAAACCTCTCGCTTTAACTCTGATTTCTTGGCATTTTGAAGAAATAAAATCAATTTCCTCAATTCACAAAGTTTTGGAGATATTTTAAACTGAATTTAAAATAAAAATATTTAAATTCAAACATAAATTAAAAACTTAAAATCACTAATTCTTTTTCAGTTATTCTAAAATCCAAATATTGAACTGTTCCCTCCTCATCCAGACACAAATATCAATGCTGGTTGTTCAAGCAGCAGATGATGGTCAGATTTTCAATCCTGCAATTCATCCAAATTCCAAGAAGGTATAATATCTCTATGTAGAGCAAGTGGCCCAAGTTAGAGAGATTTCAGACACATGGACAAACAGACAGAATTTGTCATTTATTTATTTAGATTACTGTCAAATGATAATTTTGTTATTATAATGAATTGAGATGAAGAATTGGAACTGAAAAGAATGATTATTTTTAATACTAAAAGTGTGAATTTTCACTATACCTCTTCGCCAAGAACAATTTTTTTTAACTTTATAAGCCCATTTTTCTTTTAATATGAACATTTTGACAAGCCTAATTTTTATTAGGTGCTCAAAAAGATATTTTGAGCAAGTCTTTACACACTCCTTTTCTTTTCCCATAAATTTATTGTAAATAAACAAATTACTTCTGTTCATCTCTATATTTCTAAGATGAGGTATTGTAACTATTTACACTGTTCAAACTGTTGTCCTCATCTTTATTGCCATATTCATGACATTTTGACCAGTGTACACTCCAGCCTTGTTCAATTTATATCTCTAGGAATTTCAAACTGGACCTTTTATTTAGTCCACAAGGGTAGAATGTTCTAATTCCACATGCCATGCCTTTGGATATCTCAGTTTCAGTTAATTCCCCCTGATAACTCTCCAAGTTCTTTTGTTTCCTCTTCTGTGACCAGGTATTGAACTCACAACTTTTTGGATCAAGTCACTTTTGGATCAATCAATTAATGCTTCAAAAGTTTGATAAGCCATAAAAATCAATCAACTGTACATCTACATTTTAAGTCTTTATTGCTCAGCTTCTTATTTATAATACTAGAGCATTGCATGTATAATGTATATATGTATATATCATTGTATAGCACAGGTGTAGGTGCCTAGCATTGACAGTTCAAAATAGTAAATTATTGATATTTTTTAATCATTGCATTTAAATTTTACTCCAAGTGCATCTAAATATATAGCAGGAGCACTGGACCATATGTGGCAGCAATATTCTAATCATAAATGAATGGTAGACTTATAGATATGTAAGGTAGATTCTAGAGAGAAAAAATTGTCTAGCACAACAACACAGTGAACCAACTTTCTTAGCAGCTGACCTAGCAATGGATTAAATATAGTCTTTCCACTTCATGTCAGCCAAGAACGTTAGCCAGAGAAGATGCAACAAGTCACTCTGCTTGAGGTTAGCATCAGTCATGAAGGCAGAAAGGTGTCTCTCAGATGATTAATAGATAATAATTTACTGATACAAGTCTTACTAATTAGGCCATGGCTGGGGGAAAAAGGGGTGAATTCATACCTTTCCCGAGGGTATTTGCGTGTAAGTGAATATAACAAACCTAACTAAAATTGGAACTTGACTCTCCAAATACCAATTTTGAGCTGCTATTCTGTACACCATCTTCACATCGAAACTCACAGCACCTGGTATTCCCAAGTAGACACCCATCTAATTACTGATCAGGTTCAATGTTGTTTAACTTTGGTGATTGTTCAAGAAGCAGTGTTTCAACAAGATGTAGAGCTGAGAAATATGGATAAGTTCTCTAGAACAGTAGTTTAAAAAAAAAAAAAAAAAAAAAAAAATGATGATACCTTGTAAAATTTGCACCTTATCAGATCAGAAAATTCTTTTCTGTTGTAAGTTCAATTCCTGGGCCAGATAACATGTATTTGAACTCAGTGGAAACAGGGTGAATAATAACTGAGCAGTAATAAAAATAAGAACTAGATAGCCATCTCTAGACATGGGCAGTGAAAAAAGAGCAGTCTATCTCTGTAGATTAAATAAAGGGTTCAGTATGTAGGTTACTCAGATCAATATAACTGATGAAGGCTGGTGGTCACGATGGCTGAAACACTGTGATAACAACATCAAGATGAGGACAATAGTCTAGATATAAATAGTATAATAACTTCCTATTCCAGAAATTCAGACAAAAAACAGACAATGTCAGTGGAAAATATTTTTACCGATTCCAAATTTTCACACAGTCAGCACTAGCTGTGAGGATAGCTGTGTTGTCTGAACTGAAGCAAATGGTACGAATGTCTGTGCGATGTCCAAATGAGTGGAGAAGTTCCCGTTCTGGTGTTTCATGCCATGAAAAACTCATATCTGCACTGTACCAGGACAAAGTGTTGTTGGACGATAAGCACACAATCTACAAAAGAAAGAAAAATAGATTTGTAAAATGCATCCATGGATCATTAATAGTCAACAAAAAAAAAAAAGTAAAGAAATATGTGAATATTTCAAAAATAAAGAAAGTAATAATTAAACCTGTAAAGAAGCAATATTGGAATCAATAATCAAGAAATATATTTCAGTTTATTAATTTTGGGTAATTATATACATACAGGATGCAATGAATAAATTGCCATCTAAATTACACAAAAATGAAAATGACACTGACATCTCATTTTAACAGATATATTTAACAAAATTACACAAAAAATATCTTGAAATACTAAAGAGTAGATTTATTCAATAAAATCTCCATTGGCTTCAAACATGGCCTCCAGATGACTTCAGAATCTCCTGAAACTATTCTGGATGGTCTCTTTGCTTAACTTGGTGAATGCTGCCATAATCCTTGCCTTCAGTTCATTTTGGTGTTACAAGGAGTTTTGTTCGTCTCTCGCTCAACTGCACCCCACACATAATAATCAAAGGGGTTGCAGTCTGGAGAGTTAGGTAGCCAGATGTAAGGGGTAATGTGGTCTCAGGAATTGTCTGACAGCCATGACTGTGTTCGCCTGCATGTGTGGCATGGTGCAGAGCCCTGTAAGCCATTGAGTCTTAGTGGCATTATCACCTTTATTGGTGGTGCCTCTTACTTTGCAAATCTCTACTTTGAGTGGCACTTTGGGTTTTCTACAGGGTGAACATCATTGTAAAAAAAAAAAAAAAAATAAACACACACACATATATATATATATATATATATATATATATATATATATGACAAAATGGAACAAATTATATATAACATGTTTCATCCTTCAAGAGGACTTCATCAAACTAAAATAATGTTCTTATTGGTGGCATTATGCACATGTAGCGAGAGTGGGGGGGCGAAAATATAAGCAAAAATGTAAGTTATAATTATTCACTGAGAGCTATGATGAAGATGTAGGGATACTAAGCTTTAAATTTAAAATGTCTGCTATCTTATATGTCCAGATGTACAGCATAGTTGACTTTGTTCAGCATCCAGTGTTTTTGTTTTTATCCCTGTTCTTTATAAATATCCAACATTTTGAAGAACAAGATGTTTTTTTTTACATTAGTCTTGTATATAGAATTTATATATTATGTTTCTGTGTTAATATTCCAATAGTAATTTATATTATCCTCAAAAAATATTACCTGTTTTATTTAATGCTGTAAAATTATGACAATATACAGCTAAATTGTTTGGTATTTAATACAGTTAAAGATATCAAAAATATGATGACTGTTTATAAAACACCCACAAAATATTTACATTATTTTTATTGTTTGGACTGTTCTGTTCATCTTTATTGTCATATTCACAATATTTCAGCTGTTGTATGCTTTGGCCTTCTTCAGATGACATACATTGGAATTTCAAACCAAAACCTTTATTTCGTCCACTGGAGTAGACCGTTCTAGTTCCACATGCCATGCCTTTTCTGGATAGTTTCAGCTATTTCCTTTTAGTAACTCAAATCTCCAAGTTTTTGTTCATCTCTGCTGTGGCCAGGTATTGAACTCAAAACTTTTGGGTCAAGTCATTGGATTACTTCAATGAAACATCATGAATATGACAATTAAGAAGAGGACAACAGTTCAAACAATGTAAATAGTTATAATACCTCATCTCTGAAATATAGACAGATATGGAAGTAGATATATAAAATCGAATCAGAAGAATGAAGTTTAAATAGCACAAAGTGAGAAATTCAATGTTGTGAGGTAAATGGAATTAGTGAAAAATACAAAATAATAATAAAGCATTAAAAATTATAATGGCAATAATGTTGAGTAACATTCCTGTTTATTCAGTGTAAGAAACATCATCTGATTAAAAGATTGAATAATGAAAAGTGAAGGTTAATGTTACAACATTCTTCTAATAAAAACTGGTGATATAGAGGAAGAAGTGGTATTCAATGTTAGTAAATTCAACAAATACTCCATTATATAATAATTGTGCTTGACTCTTCATTCGTTAGTTTGCACGACTATTACTCCCTGCCAACACCTCATAAAAAATAGACTGCTCAGCTTTGATTGTGTGGAAAGACAAAAGACATCAAAGATGCTACTTGGTTTCAGTGAAAAAAAGAATTATCATCTCCTGTTAATACCTCACAAATAAGGGAGTATTTCATTTTGATTGCATGAGGAGATAAAAGACACTACTTGGTTTGAGTCATAAAATAAAAGAAAGGGAAGATAGAAGTGTTTAATATCTGTTTCAGTGAACTGGAAAAAGTTGTCAATTTCAAATCTTTTCATTTGTACCTTCTTACTTAAAATAATGACTAGCATTCATATTTATGATTGTTATTACAATATTTTGTTAATGTTATTAAGCTCAAATATTTATTGATGCAATAGGGGAATTTCTATGGATATTTTATTCTCATAGAACTTTTCATGAACTTATTAAATCATTAACTGAAGAATTAAGATTCATCAGAAATTTGAAATAGGAAAACCATGAAATTTTCACAGGTTAAACTTAGATAACATAAACAGAGAAATGTTTTTTGTTTGTAACTTTTAGAAGAGTCATAAATATATCTGACATTGCTCGAGTTTGGGTTTTCTTATTTTAATAACACTTCAACACCAGAGTGTGATATCTTGTAATGAAGGTTTATCACTTACAAATTTATTTTATATATATTAATCATTTCATCTCCAAGCAAGGCAACAAAGACACTTACATACAGAGCATTACTAAGTGTGACAGAAATATAAGAAAAACATTATTAAGGAGAAAGAACAATAAAAGAACAAAAATTAAGACAGAAGATAATGAATGATATGACATTTAAATTTTTAAAGATCAAAATTAACTGGAAAGCAAGAAGCCTGAAGAGTTCTACAAGAAGTGCAGGAAAAGAAACTTAGCATAGAATTTATAGTTACATCAAGCCATTTCAACGGGTAACCTTGCAGATTCTTTGAATTTTATTAAGAATCTCTAAATACATAGCAGAAGTACCAGACCAGATGCATGGATGAATGGTAGACTTATAAATGTGTAAGATAGATTCTGGTGAGAAAAACTGTCTAGAACAACTCAGTCATTGAATCTTCCTAGCAGCAGACCTAGCAATTGATTCAATATAATCTTTCCACTTCATGTCATCAGAAAATGTTAGCCAGAGAAAGCACAAGTCACTCTCCTGGAGGTTTGCATTAGCCATGCTGACAGAAGGCAGCAAGAGTTCTTTCCGATAATTAATAGAAAGCAGTTTTGTTTTGGAGGCATTAAAATTAAGAAGACATTCCTTGCCCCAGTTAACAACAGATTAAATAGTTGTGTCATCAGCATAGATAATGAATTGAAAGCTGATGACATCAGAAAAATCAGGAATGACGTAGGTCCAAGGAGGACACATGCATTAATACAAAAAGATCTAGAAGAGTGGCTGTTCAAAACAATTTTCATTTCACGATTTGATAAGAAAGACTGAATCAGTTCGAAAATTCATTCAAATGTATCATAACCTTTCAACTTGTAAAGACCAGTATGCCAAAACCCTGTCAAATGCGTTTGAGATATCCAAAGCAACAGCCCACACTACACCATTCATATCTAAAGCTTGATAGATTCTTTCAGAAATAATCATTAATGCATCAGCAGCTAACCTAAAGAAATGAAAGCCATATTGTCTATCTGAAAGAAGGCTCTGTGAGGTGAGATGCTTAACTAATTGGTTAATTGATTAGAGCTTCTAGTACTTTGACAAAAAGATGCAGGAAGCTAACAGACCAATAGAAGGATCAGAGGGTAAAGATAGATATCAGAAAGTGACAGCCTCAGACATCATGACACCCTAACAACTTCTTTTGATGTGAGTTAACTTGGAAAATGAAGAATTCATGTATTATACAATCCTTAGAATTTATTATTTTATTCTAACAAAGCAAAAGAAAAGTATTTTTAACCCTAAAGGCCCTTCCTGGACCATTTATTTTGGGAGTTAGAATATATCAGCTCAAACTTACCTTCAAGATATTCTTTTCCAATACACAATCAAAGCTGTGTCCTTTTTTAGCAACTTTCAACTCTCCAAATTTTTTGAATGCGTCGTTCAGAGTTAATTTGGCACTCTCCTCCATGTGTTCACTTAAATACAAAAGAATTTAGCATTTTGAATTTTAGGTTAATAAAAAAAAAGAATATGAATGAAAATCAACAAAAAGGTACCTCAAATTATCATCAACAATAAGTAATTTCTGGAATGTGGAATTATGATTATGTACATTTGGGCTAATTCCTCATCTTTGATGTTATTATTACAACATTTTGGTTGTTTTACCCTCTGTCTATCCAAATAACCTTCAGGGAATTTCGAACTGAGCCCTTTATTTAATTTATATCGCTAAGTGAAGTCATGTTTTGGGTGTGTCTTGTAAGCAGAAGGTCACTTCATATTTGATTATGGTTCAAGATAAAACCAGAAAATTATAAGTTCTTGGAAAAAAATTCTTTTAATAGTACATTTCAAATCTAAGAAGCTTAGAAACTCAAGAATATATCAATACAAGACATTGCTACTTCACATTCTACAAAGCTGACTATTGTTCACATTGCCAAAAAATGTTTCGAAGACAATGGAATGGTCCCAGGCTTCTCTAGATTAATCCAACAGAAAATTTATGGTCAATCATTGACCCTCCATCAATCAAGAAAAATGACTTCCATTAAATTTCCAGCTGGGTCCAATGAGCCCATTTCTATTTTTTTTATAAACTATTCAAACTTTTTGCATGATATTAGGTATGTATAATTATAGATGGACAAAGAAATAACAATTTTAATCAAAATTTATTCACGGAAACTTAAAAATTTCAATACATATTTGCATTTATAAACTTAATTCAAATTACATTTTTTTTTAAAATTACAATTCATTGCTGTATTTTGGACAGAATACTTTCAAATATCTTTGACAGATATTCTTTTGGCAAATATGACAGTTTGCATTTTTCTATCCATTTTAAGACCACACCACATTGGATCCATTGGTAGACAGAGTTAAAGGAGATATATATGAGAATGGGAAAGATACTCAGGCAAAGAAGATCTCTGGGAATCAAAAAACTGTTGCAAGTAATATTTGAAACAATAGAAAAATTGGTAAAATAAATGATTACAATATTAATGAAGGTTATAGAATATCGAGGAGATTATATTAACATTTAAAATAATTTATTCAGGTATATGGAATATTGTCATAATCAAATGGCATATTTCTTTTGGATTTATCTATAAATGAAAATTAATTTGTTTACATAATAAAACTTGATATTTCCAAAACAAATTATTGATATTTTTAACAAGGATAGATATTATAAATGGAAATTCACATGATATATTGCTTATATAAATATATCCTGAAAATTTTACCAACATTGGTTGGTTAATACCAATTTTAATATGAAATCATTGACTTTCTTAAAATCTGACAGTGTATAAGTTTGGTATAAAGCATTTGGTATAAGTAGTACTTGCTTTAATATAAAGTTGAGAATGCAGGTCGAGGTTGTGACTTATTATTTACACTTACTTTTTTCTACGCATTTTCTTCTGTCGTTTTGTTAAACGTTTCTCAAGTTCTTCATTTGTGGCCAATAAATACACTTCAATGCTACTGTCATTGTTCTTCAAAAGAAAAAAAAGAGTAAAATGAATTATATATACATATAAAGGTATACACATATGTTAGGTTATTCCAAAAGTAATGTTACTTTGTGGGATGTAGTTGTATTATAAGGCACTGCAACTAGCAATAATAAATTGTTTTTTTTTTTTTTTTTTCAATTCTTTTCTCCCTATTACTATAGATGAGCACATAGCCAAGTGGTAAGAACATTCACTTTCTGACCCTGAGACCCGGGTTTGAATCTCAGCATGGTTGATTTGTCAGGAAGATGATGTTATTGGTCTGGAGGAAGTGATGCCAGTGTGTGGCACCTTTGGAAAGTGCTTGAAAACCATACCATGGGTTGATCCGACACATGTCAGTGAAATTGGGTAGATGGAACACTTGAGGGCCATTGGTGGTTGAGCTAGCACAAAGTCGCAAGTCATTGTGACTGAGGGTTCAAGCGTTCTAGCCTTGTTCAGTTTGTTGATCACATGCACTCTCTCCCAGAAATTGTAACTAAGGTCCACTCAGCATTGTTGCAGTATAAACCACAGATGGGCTCTGTGGGAGTTGAGCAAACAAAAACTTGATGTGATTCTTGGGTGCCTCAAGAAGCTGATAGCGCAAAGTTTAAATAAAACCTCATGCTAAATGCTTTCTACTCATCTATTTCTTGTAAAAATTATAGTCAATAAATAAATTATAAGTATTTTAAAATGGAGAGTTACTTTTCAATCAACCTGTATAAGGTGCAGTTTCACCAGGATAAGATCCTGTCAAGTCGATCCAGGACACAATTGAGGACATCAGAAAAAGGCCTCCAGCTAACCTGTTATAGTAGTATGGGCATATTTCTTTTAGGATTCCATAGAGAAATGAATTTACATTGTAAACTAGAGCCTCCTATTAACTTTTATAAAATTTAATTTAAAAAAAAAAAAATAGTGATGTTCATTGTCTGGGTGCTTAATTTAGTATATTATGAAAAAAAAAAAAAAAAAAAAAAAAAAAAGGTTATTTCTGGTGCCACAATGCCTATTCTCCACCCTTTTTTTTTTTTAAAGAAGGAAGGACTAAAGAATTTTATAATGTAGTTTTAAATTGTTTGTCAAGATAATAATTATTTTCAAACCAAGGTAAAATCTTGAATTTCAATTTTCAAATTTCAAGGTAAAATCTTGAATTTTCAAATGCTGATTTTCTTTTTAAAAAGAAAAATAGACAACAAATCTATCTTTTCATTTTCCATATCAGAGTAAATATCTAAAAACTACATATTTGAATAGGTTTTATTTTTATTGAACTTTGTATGATTGAAGAAAGATTGTTCTGCTTACCAAACACACAAGGCTTCTGCTTGTTGAGTCAATTTTCATGGAAAGGAGTCGTTCTTTGCTTTGTCTCATAACCGAACCAATTTTGAGGCATTCAATTGGACACAACTGAAACAATAAAATGATTAGTCAATATTTGATCCAAACACTTTTTTCATCATGTAAAAAGAGGTATTAAAAAAGAAAAATAATAATAATAATGGTACTGAATTTCTTCATTAAAAACATTGTATTTTCATACATTGAAAACAATAGTACAGTGTGACAAAAATAATTGAATAATCTTATCTTCATCTGTGTTTCTTTTAACACATTTTGGAAGATATATTCTTTGGCTTTTCTGTTATTAAACTCCTGGAAAGAATTATGGAATCACCATACTAAGGAGATGTTCAATTTGCAGCAAATAAACAAATCACAAACATGACACTAAACAATTTTTATTTAATAGCTGAATGTTCTGGTTTAAACCAAACAAATAAGATTAAATTATTTAAATTAATGGCATATTTTTTTACCAAATCAATGAGGTAAAAATTATGTCATCATTTAATGTTGATGGAAAAAAATTATGGAATCATTAACAAAATCACAGCTTTTGATCTTTTAAGATGATATTCTGAACAGTTGATGTTGGGACATCTAAATGCTGAAGCATCACCTCGCATTCACCTATATGCTTAGGCATCGCCTTTTATACATTTAAATGCTTAGATATCCTCTTATAGTCATTACCAATAGTATACACATCAATTAGCTTCTATGTCATAACTGTGCTTATGTAACTTAACTAAGATGCTGCAGGTAGAAGAGTTGTTAAGCAGAAGATAATTGCAAAAATACTGGGGACATCAGCCTTGTCATGGGCTATTCTAGAAATATTTGTATTCTCAAACTTTCCAGGGAAGATGTAACTTCTGTTATTCGAAACATAGCTTGGATGCAGACAGAGTATTCTAGGCTCTGTTAGTAGGGCAAATTCCCAAAAGAGGAAACCTTCCCATGTCCTCTACCAAAGACCATAATGGACATATTTGGGGTACTTTGTATTGTTCCACCTTTTTCATCAATAGTGTCCAATGTTCTAACCTTGTCTCTCAGTGCAGTCTACTGTAAATAATAATAATATATGACATTCTTCAGTAGAAGGTGTCAGTGATCTGGTACCACATTTGAAATTTGGATTAGCTGATGTTATCATATCAAACATTGCTGGATGTTCTCCTTTGTTGCAATTTCTGCTTAAGCTGTTCACATTACTATGACAGCATATGAGCATCTTCATAGAAATTGGAGTCTGTTAGAAATTTAGAGAAGGGTCAATTTTGAAGAGGAAGTGCTAATAATTGTGCATGTAAAAATCTGCTTAGTAACTGAGGTAGTTGTATATTTTCACTGGTGTCAGTATTTGAAATCAAGGCAAAGAAGCAAAATTTCAAATGTTCATTTTCAAGGCAGGTGAACCCTCTCCACTTGGAAGATTGGCACAACACAATCTTCCTATGCTTATTTTGCACAATTTGGTCTTATCCAAAACAAACATGAGCTTAGTAAATATCAAGAATCATCCATTTCTGTTAAATCATTTTGGCATGTCAATATTGAAAGATTTTTTTCAAAATATGGGATAGGGCCGGGATAGAAGTCAATTCAAGACTTTCCTTTTCCAAAGCTATTAGTGTTTAGTAAACAAATCCTATTTTTAAATTGCATATATTATTAGTGCTTCACAATTGCACTATTACCAAACTCATTACTTTAACCCTATACCTAGCAGAATTTGGCTGTGTACAAATTTCAATTGATGCTGCTTTTTTTGTGTTTGAGATATTTCTTTTTTAATCATTTCACCCCATTCAAGGCAGTAAACCCACTAAGACAAAAGGGGTTACTGAGTGTGAAAGAATATGAAAAAAGAGAAACCTTATTAAGGGATGAGAACAATAGAAGAGTAATCAAGAGGACAGTAGATAATGATTGACATTGCATTTAAACTTTTGAAGATCAAAGTTGGCAGTGGAAGAGAGTTTCACACGCGAGAAGTGCAAGTAAAGAAACTGTTAGCATAGAAACTATGGTAGCCAGTTCAACTGTGAACTGATGAGACCTTGCCACCAATCTAGTACTATGCTGAAATTTATAAAGTCTAGGTACCATAGCAAAGAGTTTATATGAACAGTTACCATGAAAGTATTTGTGAAACTATACTAATAGACCATTATGAAATATTGTTACATTATTCTAAAGGTGGTTGTGAATACTCTTTTTGTTCCATTACTGAAGACATCTATTTTTGCTGACATAAGGATTTTTGTAATTTTAGAAAATTACAGTCTTACTTTAGCTTCTCAATACAAGTACTTTATAACTCCAGGACAAATATTTCAAAGTGTTGGATTGGCCAAAATGTTTGTCCAGTGCATTAAGTAAATTTTCTACTAAATAAATGAACAAACTTTTTGGCCAAGCAATTCTGCATGAATTTTTTGCATTGAAGCATTTGGCTTATTTATTTTCAAACTCTCACGTTTTTTTGTTTTATGCAGCCATTTTACATTTGATGAACAAAAATCTCAGGCATTTCACAATTCTAATAATAACCTTCCTGGGATAGATTTTTTGTTTTTTAATCATTTCACCCCAAGCAAGGCAATAAAGCCACAAGAAGTTACCGAGTGTTAGAGAATATGAAAAAAAAAATAATATTAAGGGGAGAGGACAATAAAAGAATAAGAATTAAGAAGACAGAAGATATTGATTGACATTGCATTTAAATTTCTGAATTAAAAGTAAAACTGGAATGAAAAATGAGAGAAAACTTACTGAGTCTTTCTTTTCCTCAACATCATCATCATCTTCTGGCTCAGGTTGTGACATGTCAAGACGAAGTTTCTTTGCCTGATTCTCATCCACATCCTGAGAGAAATTGTAAATGAAAATGTTTTTTGATAAAGACTTCCATTATTTTGATTGAATCCATTAATACACATTTATTAATGGTCTCAATCAATATAGAAAGAAGTAAAGTGGGAGTATAATAGATATATAATTTATACAGTATTAGGTAGCAATCCCTCATTTAAACATGTTCTATTAAATTGAATAGACAGGGAATGCTTGTTACGGATTCTGGTGAGTTTCTTCTGGTGTCAAAATATATAAATAGTGAAAAATCAGTTAGAAACTTCTGATAGGATTTGAATTTGCATGCATTATCATTAACTTTGAAAATTTCAGTAACAGAAAATCATTTTTTCAAATCTCCTTTTCACATAGATTAAGCAATCCAGATCTCACAAACATAGACACACACAAAATTATTAAATTTTGTAAAGTTAATAGAAGTGTCCAGTTTGCTATAAAGATTGTAAATTTTTCATCTATGGAAGCCAAAAGAATTATGCTCATACAATGTAATTTCTTGAAATTGAAAAACATTTTTTTTTCTTAAATTCGTAATCTGGAGAGCTTAATATAAAAAAAAAAAAAGGAGCTCCAGATTACAACTTTTTTTCATATTCATGATCTGTAGCGCTTAACATAAAAACAAATTAAAAAAAAAAAAAAAAAAATTATTTTTGGCCACAGTGCTTATTGAACCTTCCCCCCCCACCAATTTTTTTTTTTTTTCAGATGAAGCCTTTGAAATATTATTTTATTATGAATTTTATAGCAGCTTAATGTTATTTGTTGTTGTTTATCATTCAATACACTCTTCATCCATTGGCGCAAACAGCATAAAATCAGAAACAAAAGAATAGATTTGAACTCCTATTCAATACCTTTGGAGTTTGATTTTATTATTGTGCCTTAAATATTTTTGCAAGAAGCTTCCAATTAAGATGGGCACAAATCACTTTGCTACCCATTCCTGTAATATTTACCAGATAAAACTTTGTCAAAGAAACAATTAAAAAGTAAGACTTAGTCCAAAGGAACAAATTAAATGTCATTTTTTAAAACTCATATCTCACTTTGTATTGATTAATTTAAGTTTCCTTACCTTATTTGCCTTTAATCCCCAAACACGAAGTTCACTGTCTCCACATCCAGTGATAAGTTCTCGATTTGGAGTTACCAAAATATCTGAAACCTTAAAAAAAAAAAAAAAAAAAAAAAAATAATAAATAAGGAATTTTACCAACACTTGATTGATACAGAAAAATAAAGTTATCATTAATTTCAATAGAAAAAGTGATTTAAAAATAACTTTCAGATTTTTAAAAAGTATAATTTAAATTTTCAAATGGAAACATTGATTCATTTTTAAATTCTTTATTTTAACTGTTTAGTCAACAAATTCTCTGATTGTAACAAATGTAAAGCAATCTCCCAGCTTTTATATATATATATATATATATATATATATATATATGTATGTATGGTGCAATGGATAAATTGTCATCTAAATTACACAAAAATGAAAATAACACTGACAACTCACTTTAACAGACATATTTACCAAAATTACACAAGGATATCTGGAAATAGTAAAGAGTAAATTTATTCAATAAAATTGCCATTGGCTTCAGCCATGGCCTTTAGGCAACTTCGGAATCTCCTGCAACTCTTTTGGATGGTCTCCTTGTTTAAGTTGGTGAATGCTACCATAATCCTCGTCTTCAGTTTATCTTTGGTGTTACAAGGAATTTTGTTGGTCTATATAATAATCAAGGGTGTTGAAGCCTGGGGAGTTAGGTGGCCAGATACAAGAGGTGATGTGGCATGTGGATGTGTAGCATGGTGCAGAATCCTGTTGCCATATATTTGGCAACAGGACTCTACACCATGCCACCCTCTTGACTCTGGGAAGCACTATTTCCGAAAGCACTTGATGTAGGCATCCATGTTGTGGATTGATGAATATAGACACAACATTATCGTGACCACTCCAAACATCTTCATAATCATCATTAGACTTATCCAACTCTTTCTGACTTCCTCTGCACTGTCACCCAAACATTACGAAATTTTCGTATTGGAGCTTCCGGCGTGAATGCCAAGCAGTACAGCATGCCTTTTCCAAATTTCTGGTTGAGTGAATTGCGTCATAGTGCTCTTTTTCTCACAGAGGGTGCCTAACTGACCCTACTATACTGTGAAGTCCCCGACCCAAAAAAAGCACAAAATTAAAAATATAAAATAACGACAATTTATCTATCGCACCACATGTGTGTGTGTGTGTGTGTGTGTGTGTGTATATATATATATATATATATATATATATATATATATATATATATATAGATAGAGAGAGAGAGAGAGAGAGAAAAAAAAAAAAGGAAAACTTATTTTTGCTGATGCATTTCATCCTCTGGGGGACTTTATCAAGATAAATGCTTGATAAAGTCTCTAAGAGGATGACACGCATCAGCTCAGTTTTATTCACATTGCTTTTAAAGATATATCTGAAATTATATATATATATATATGATTGATAAGATAAAGAACAAATATATGATTCACTGCTTTATAGTAGGATTGATAATCACATTATCATCACTTTTTTCTATGACATCTTCCTGCTTCTTAATAGTTTTTTTTAACTTTTGAAAGACATCTTTCACTGTTCCAGTGCTCTTTCATATTTGTGTCACATTTTCTGTCATATGTTAAAACTCTTCTCAGATAGTTAAATTTGTGTATTTGTTTGACTTTGACATCTCTAATTTGTAACTCATCTTGGGTTATCCCTTTTGCTAACAACCATACACTGTCTTTTTATAATTAATCTTTTCATTTGACTTTCCTACCTTGTGTAAGAGATCCTACAGTTTTCTTTTTGTGTTGGCTGTCAACACAGTGTCATTTACATGCTGTTAATAATAAATCCTGGTTGAACTTTCAGTTCCCTTAGAAGAAAGATGAAAGAAATCACCATCAGAGCCATTTTGAATTAAAGGTCCACTGTAAATCAGTGTAATCTCTATTCTTTGACATGGTTGCTTGTTTCTGAGTATGTCCATTTGCTCAGGTCTATTTGTGTTTCTTCAAGTGTAATGAGTTGGTCGGTCAACTTGAAACTCCGAAAGCGAGTGGAGGTGGGAAGGCACGGGAACTGTGATTGGTAGCTGGCTTGTTGGTGTTTTGCATAGGTGAGTTACCAAGCTCTATGTAAAGGGCTGGAATGAGAAGGAGGTCAGTTTTTCAGTCTCAGAAGTGGAGACTGTGTCTGTCGCTACAACAGCAGGAGAGAGAAAGTCATTTATTTTTTTGTGACACATTCCAACAAACTTCAACATAGCCCAACTATGGTTTATATTACAACTATGCTGAGCAGACCTTAGTTACAGTTCAAGAATGTGCTCCACCAGGGCCACATAGTGTCTTGAATTCAGAGTTGTTCTTTTCCTATAATGATTGCCAATCAAGGCTAGATAGTCCAGTCTGCCCTGCTATTTAGCCCAAAGCTAGGGAGGGAAGAGATATATCTTTCTCAAAGATATTTCTCTTTGGGAAAGATACATCTATCCTCCTCCCAGCTATGAGTTAAAGGTAAATATCTTTAGGAAAAATATACCTCTTCTCCCAGCTATGGATTAAATAGCAAACTGGACTCTCTTCTGAAAAAGTTAATTTAATGATCTTAACTAGAAACTGAACATGGCTTACTGGTTTCTATTTTTGAGCCTCTAACCTGCACACCCATGAAAGAAATAGTAGTCAAAAACTAATAAAAGTTGACAAGGAGATTTAATTCAATGATTACAACATGTTCAGTTGTGATATAACTGATTTGTAAAGTATTTAATTTAGCAGATAGTAATACATACCTCACTTCGATGAGCAACAACTGTGTGGAAACAGTATTGAGTATCTAAATCCCATAATTTCACATAAGTATCTTTGGAACTAAAATGTAAGAAACAAACAAAAATTAAATTTTTATTAAGCTTGATTGAAAAACTAAAAGATACAACAGCAAAAACTACTACTACTGCTATTATAATTATTTCTTTGCTTTCTCTGCTTGATGGCTGAGGTAGTTGTGTATCAGCCAGTGGTTCCAATGTTCACGTCCAGGTAAAATGTCAAAATTTTGAATGCTGATTTTTCAGGTTTTCTCTTTGATGATTGGTACAGCACTGTTTTCTTATCAACTTTTCTTTTGACTGTTTTTTTCTCTTGCCAAGCTAAATAAACATCAACATTGTGTCTTGCCACATAGTTACATCTTTCCTCAGGTAAAAGCCAGGATTTTGAATGTTAATGTTTTAGACTGGGAACCCACCCACACTAAAAAGATTGGTGCAACATAATCTTTCTAACCCTTATTTGGCTTTGTGCCAGACTAAGCTAGGCTTAATAAATAGAAGGTACCATTAGCAAAACGATATGAAAAATAAAAATTATTATTCTTTTATGTAGCCATGTTCCTTTTGCTGAAAACCATACATTCTGTTTTCTTGCAATTGATGTTTAGTCCTTTCTTCACACTTTCCTTTACTACCTTCTGTAAGATTGCCTGTAGTCTTTTCTGTATCTGCTATCAATACTGTGTCATCTGCACATCTAATGTTGCTAAGATTGTGATCACTAATAAGGAATTCTGGTAGAACTAATTTTCCCATGATTGACTCCCTGTAAGTCTGGTGAGAAGACACCTCCTTTTCTTATGTCTCTTTCTATGTTTGTCTATTTATTGAATTCACTTTCTATCCATACACAAGCGGTTTGCTCCCAGTATAAGTGCTGGTTTATTATCCCAAATAAATCAAGCTTACCTAGCAGTTTAAAAATAAATTGAAATCAGAATGCAAAAAGTGTATTTTAAGAGATATTTGTCATCCCATTCTTTGACAAGCATGTTCTTTATTAAATCAGCAGAGGTTTTATATCTATGAGAATGAAGAAAGTTCTGAATTAATCTCATTCCATCAGCTCAAGCAGATATGAATACTGAATATAAAAATGCTACATCTCAAAAATATGAAGTGTTAGGACAATTTTGATTGTGGATTCAGGATTGGCATACTTGATAAAAAAATTAACTAAGAAAATGAGAATTGGATTGATTCTTTGTCATATAAAAGAAACAAGTTCCAAAAACACTTACCTTGTTATCAAGATATTATCCTCAGGAACAAACACAGCCTGAGTTATTGGCCCTTTGTGACCCTTAAGACGGTACATACCAGCACCTTGGAGAACATCCCACAAAATGACATTGGTGTCCTGATTAGAAAAAAAAAGAAAAAGGTTCAGAATGATGGAAAACTGAACTTAAATGTTATACTGTACATATGGGTATGTCCCAATCTGTATAAATACAGTAGAATATACTGTATGTGGTAGTCATTCGGATTCACTTGTGATTCACTTCTAGCCAACTGCTAGTGGTGACACTAGCAGTTGATTACTTGCTATATGCCACTGGTGAATCTTGTATGTTGTTATGGTTATAAATATTATCAGTCCATTTCCAACCTTCCTTTTAGTTATTCTTATTCAGTAACCTTTTCCTAGGTTACAACAAAAAGGAAGGAACTGTATTTCACTTTGTACAATGTCAGATTAACAAATGATGATGATGGTTGTGAAGATTGACAATGAGTGTAACAGCTCTTATTTTATTTTATTTAAAAAAAAAAAAAAAAATTGTTACCTACTGGATAGAATTTTTGGAAGAGCAGTTTTCCCAAATGCTCATTTATTCAGTTCTTTCCATCAATATTTATCACTCATCTGTATTGTGAAATATCACAGATTTTACAGAGATGTGCCAAAGGTCTTAGATATAGTATTGTATTTGTTGTGTAGGAACCTACCACCCCTCTTGAAGATGAACTCGTCTACAAACAAGGACGTTAAATAGTGGCATGTCAAAAGACAGTGTAGAAGAAGTTCTGAGCTGAGTTAGTTATAGACTACTCAGGCGATATCTGTACCAACTTACCAACCGAATAAACCCCATTTTATTGTTACATGTTATTTGGCGTTTGTCTTTATTAACCCCAAATTAACATCATAACAGTGGCGACGAGAGATTCATTCATCACGTTGAGTGGAGAATTTTTCAACTCTAGGTGGACTATATAATTTTTTTTTTTCCTCGCACTGAAAGAAAAAAAAAAAAAAAAATACGTCGAACTTTGTTCTTCAAAGGGAAATAGGATTTCAACGTGCCAAAAAGAAGTAAGACTTGTGCTTATTGTTGGATATATATGTGTTTTTCTCCTTTTGACTGTTTTCAAAAAGTGTTTTGTGTAATCTATTACGCATAATGGAAGATTTGATTGCATTAACGAAAACTCTAGTGCAAAACCAAATTCAGCAACAAGAGCAACAAAGATTGCAACAAGAGCAACAAAATTGTTGTTTCGGGAACAACTATTGGATTTACAAGTTCAGCAGCGAAATGACACAAAGGCTTTATTTGAAGCAATTTTACTAAAGAATCCAGTAAATTCATCATTCACGGCCGAAGGTATTGCTAATTCTATTACTGAGTTCAAATTTAACCCAGAGGAGGGTATAACATTTCCTGCGTATTTCAGAAGATTTGAAACAATATTTAAAAAAAATGAAGGTTGGACTGATGAACAAAAAGTGAGTTTACTTTTTACAAAAGTTGGGTACAGATGAAAATAATAAGTATACGAATTTTGTCCTTCCAAGAAAAACTAGTGACATTTCTTTTCAAGAAACTTAATACTTTATCTATTTTTTTGGCGAGCAAGTTAGTTTGTTTCATACTCGTTTCTCGTGTTTGAATATGGTAAAGCGTGACGATGAGGATGTTGTTACGTATGCTGGAAATGTTAACAGAATGTGTGAACGTTTTATGTTACATGATCTTTCAATTGATCGATTTAAATGTTTGATATTCGTTCAAGGCTTGACTTCTAGCAAAGATAAGGACATAAGGTCCCGAATATTGGCAAAACTCGAACAAAATTCGAGATTACTTTGCAGAAGGTTACGGAAGAATGTCAAAGAATTGAAAACTTAAAACATGACAATACATAAATTGAAGAAAAAGACATATCCCGTGTCCATGCTATTCGACCAAAAACGGGAATAGTTAATAAAAACGTTAAAAAACCAACGTGCTTTTGGATGCGGTGGTGGTCATTTTAAAAGTGAATGTTTTTTCACACAAAAATTGCTATTCGTGTGGCAATAAAGGCCATATAAATACTCATTGTAAAAGCAAAAAAAAAAAAAATTAAGTCGAAAAAAGATATTGTGAATATTGTGTTGTCACGTCAGGAGATTGAGGGGGGGCAGAAAAGAAAATTCGTACAAGTAAAAATTAATGGAAAAAAATGTTAAACTACAGCTAGATATTGGAAGTGATATTTCCATTATTAATACAGCAACATGGATTAAAATAGGCAGACCTTTGCTTAAAAAGACTGAAAAAAAGTGGCTCATGGATTTCTGGAAGAAAATTGCATTTTCAAGGTGAATTTTCTTGTAATATTTCATTTGTTGGTAAGACACTAAAGTCTAAAGTGTATGTGCTACAAAATGCTTCAAATTTGTTTGGAACAGATTGAATTATACTGTTTAATTTATGGGAACTCCCTATAAATTCTTTTTGTAATAAAGTTAATGTTTCTTCTCGGTGTAAAAATCGGGTTACAGAAAATTTTGTGAAAGATCTGAAAATAAAATTTCCACAAGTATTTTCAGAAGGTCTTGGATGTTGCAAAAAAGGCGAAGGCAAAATTTGAAGTGAAGGAAAATGTAAAACCTATTTTCAAGCGAAAAAAGAAATGTGCCATTTGGTGTTTTGGAACAGACTGACAAGGAATTGGAATGGCTTGAAAATTTAGGGAGTTATTTCACGCATTGAATTTTCAGAGTGGGCCTGCCCTGTTGTATATGTTAAAAAAAAATAAAAATTCGGATGTGTGCCGATTTTTTTTTACGGGTCTAAATGATTGCTTAAAAGACCACACATATCCTTTGCCTTTCAGCAGAAGACATTTTTGCAAGTTTAAGTGGAGGAAAAATATTCGCTAAATTGGATTTATCAGATGCCTATCTCCAAGTCAAAAATGGACGCACAAAAGACATTTGAACCAATTAAGGAAAAGAATCATTGAAGAAATAAGTGAAGAAAAGGAAGAACCAATGGAGGTATTATATGATTTATTTGATATACCGACTCCACCATTGCCTGAAACAGTTGTTCAAAGAAGGACAAGCAAAAGAAAAAGAACTAGGGTGGAACGTTTAAGTCCAGATCCCAAAAGGAAAATATATTAATTCCTCCGGAATTAATCTCAAGGGGGAGGTGTTGTGTAGGAACCTACCACCCCTCTTGAAGATGAACTCGTCTACAAACAAGGACGTTAAATAGTGGCATGTCAAAAGACAGTGTAGAAGAAGTTCTGAGCTGAGTTAGTTATAGACTACTCAGGCGATATCTGTACCAACTTACCAACCGAATAAACCCCATTTTATTGTTACATGTTATTTGGCGTTTGTCTTTATTAACCCCAAATTAACATCATAACAGTATTAGACCCCTTCTAGCTTGGCAAAGTGCAGTAACCCAACATGACATTGATTCCACAAGTGGTCAGAAGACTTTGAGAGATGTTAAGCCATGCTGTCTTAATTGCTGTCCACAACTTCCTGATATTTTCAGCTGCAACATCTTGTGTATGAATAAAATTCTCCACCACATCCTATAAATTCTTAGTTAGGCTCATGTTTGGTGAACATGGTGGCCACAAGATTCATTAGAAGCATCCACAATGTTTCTCAAACCAATTTTTAATATCTAGGGCTGAATAACATTGTTCAGTATCCTGCCGAAATAATATGTTGAAGTCTATGAATGGGAGTAAATGGTTACGGAGCAGGGAAACTTAGTGGTCACCATTTAATGACATATTTAGATAGACCAGCAGATTCAATACATGTTATGTTAACATACCCCACACCATTATAGAACCACTACCAACCTCCATGTTGTTTTGTTTACAATTGGTGTCCATGGCCTCAATGGGTTTGCAATGAACCCTGAAATCAGCCCAAACTGGAACTGTGGCTCATTGGACAACATGACACATTTTCGATCCTCTAGGATATAACTGACAGTTTTTAACTTGGAGAAGGTGCTGCATCCAGTTTCATGGTGTTGAGGTACCATGTTGGGTCTTCTGCTTCCATGTGCCATGAGAGCTAAAGCATGATAAACTGACTGCTGAATATGCCTCGAGGTATTTCCAGTATGAATTGAATATAGATGTGATTTAAGCTAGTGTTGTCGATTACTGCAAACAATTCCAGCCAGTCACTTCTGACCATGATCATTAAAGGTCTGTGGTCAGCCACTGCAATGCAATGGGCAGTAATATCTTACATCAGGTATTCTTAGTACACACATGATACCATAGATCATGGGATGTAAATGTTCTGTCCATTTGGCACCCACTATTCTGCTCACGTTCAAACTCTGATAATTTATGTTACCTTACCATAAACAGCCTAGCTGGTGTTCACATTTACTTACCAGCTGTTAAAGTACAATTGATATAGGACTAAGTATTTCACTGTTATCAAGATATGATTTTGGCATGTCAGTGTACATACACTAAGCTAATACTATTAAGAAAAAAAAAAAGAGCAGAGTTTGGATAATACTTGGCATATTATCTTGGACTTGGTCTTTCCCCACCAAATTTCCAAACCAATTCCAAAATATATTGAATACTATAATTCCTAATCATAGTTCAGTTCAGCATAGAGTCAGATGTCTAAAAAGATTGTATTGCATCAATCTTTCAAGTGAGGTAGGACTGCTTGTCTTGAAAATTAGCATTTAAAAATGCTGAGCTTGAATATCAACTATGTACAAAAAAAAAAAAAATCTACCATAGCAGGCCAACTGTAGGTGGCAATGAAGCAATGTGTATAAAGGATAACACAATCCATTATTTTCATTACTATATATACTTATGTATAACCTGACTTCATGAATAATGTGACAGCTGAATTTTTGGTATGAATTAACCACTCCAGAAAATTTTTTTTTATCTGTATATATAAATTTTTTTTTATCTGTATATAGTGCAACTGGTCACTAAAAATACATGATTTTTAACCACTTCAAAAAGAAAAAAAAAAGACCTATGTATAGTGTAACCCCCTATTTTGGGCACAAAAAAACAGATAATAAAAACTCACATTATACTCAAGTATATATGGTAGCATGAAGCCATTTTATAGTTGAGAGTTGAAATGTTTTGTCCAAACTTCTGTTCTTTGGAATTGTTGGTCTGAACTTAAAGTAGAATTTGTTTGATATATTTATCCTACTAAAAATTCAAGCCATCAATGATAATGTTCATTTTAATACCAGAATCTTCATGATTCAGTTTATTTTTAAACAATACAGAAAATAACACTGACAGAAGACAAGAGAGAAAGACAATGAGAACAAAGATGGATTTTATGTTGCCTTCCAAATAGAGAGGAGTGAAGAAAGTCAATGAAGGAAAAATGAAAAGAGTTAAGACAAGGCTTTGATAATAAACCATCATGTAAACCTAAAATAAAGATAAAAAGCTTAGGCACGTCAGTATTGTCTGAAGCTCAAGATGAGAAAAGATCCTCTAATAATTCTATAATTAATTTGGATTAATTTTTTTTACCATTAAAACATTGATGCTCACCATCAAATTTTGAAGGCAGTGAGCAGTAATGGGTTTTTGTCAAGCCTGGTTTATGACTGCTACTGGTAACATGTAACCCAGTACAAACTGCCACATGGATGGGTGGTTGGCATCTAAACCAGTTCCCCCACTAGCTTTTCTGTTGCAGAGGGTGGCATGTTACCTGACAAAATGAAAAGCAAAACCTGTCAAAGGGGTGGATGAGGTTCTTATAGGAACCTACTGCAAATATATATTATATATATATATATATATATAAGACTAGGATGGGGTCTTGTATAGCAACCATCCTAGAGATTGTGTCTCAATAAAAATGCTCTGTGTACTTGGATGACTGTGAGTGTTTGAGTTGGGTATCAGGAAGAATATCCTACCTTGTAAAACCTTGCCTCAACTCATGACAAATCTTCTGTCAGGCAGGGCATACATATGTATGTAGGTAGAAGTCCATAATTAATACCAGATTTCCATAATAAACCAATGATTGGATATTTTAAAAACAAAATTAATACACTAGATATTTTTATTTTTTAGAAAACTATAATACTGAATATTTTTTTAAAACTTGCAATTAATTCTTGATTTTTGGTTATTTTTTTAAAAAACTATAATTAAGAGCTGATATTTATTAATTTATTTTTTTTTGTTTTTTTTAAGAAACCTATAATTAATAGTGGATATTTATTTATTTTTTTTAGAAATCCTATAATTAATAGATGACATTTATGTATTTTAAGAAACCCATAATTAATAGTTGACATTTATTTATTTTAGAGTTCTTTAATGATTGATCTATTTCTCCAGACATTAATAATAAAAAAGATTAAATTTTAAAACTATTTTTATCCATTTTCTCATTTAAAACAGAGTGAGCATTTTTAGAGTTGCAATTTACCATAACCTAAAAAAAATTGGAAAATTCAAAAAAACAAATAAAAAAAATAGAGATTTTGAATTTTACTTACTTTTCCCCCAGAAACCAGAATAAATCCATCTTTGTTATAATTCAGGACAGTCACAGGAGATTTGTGTCCATTAAATTGAAATAAAACTTGACCATTGTCCAAATCAAACACATTGATCCCACCATCTGCATAGCCAACAGCCAAATGGTTCTGAGATGGGGAAATTTTCAATACAGTAACAGCGAATTTTCCACCTTTGAGAACTAAAGCCTGAAATAAAAAAAAAAAAAACAGTCATATTTTTGTTATCTTAATAAATCAAATTTTATACAATAATTACAATAATTTTTTAAAGCATGTTTTATATTACGTGTAATATGGGGTTACAATGCCTAGATTATCGAATGCATGGCATCCAACTCCTTCAGAAATGTTCTATCAACTATATATAACCATTTTTTTAAAGATCAAATGATTAAAACAGTTGTATGTGTTCAACTACAAATAAAATGTATTGCTGGTCATTTTACTATATGTATTGTTGGTCATTTTTTATAAAAAATGAATTGCTGATATTTTTACTATAAAAATGTTTTTGTGTACTTTCATAGTGTTTTGTTTTTGTTGAGGACTTTTTGTCCATAGCTAGGTCATAGTGAATCTAGGAACAACAGCAATCTTGTGACCAGAAGCCTTGCTGCAAGATGTAGTTTATCATCATACCCAGGACGTGTGTGTATGTGTGTGTGTCTTCACACACACACACACACATCATAAGGAACTGAGTATCGTGTCACTTGAAGATTGTAAGACAGCACCATCAAAATCTCAGTGTCCACATGAAACTAAATCATGGAAAACAGTATCACTATAGATAAACATATATAAAAATCTACATATTCAGTTAAAATGAAAAAAAATACTTGATAATGGTTAATAGAATAACTGAAAGTGCTTGGATATATAAGAACATTTGGACAGTTTTTACACACTTTATGTCTAGAAAAGAAAATTTTTCTCTCTCTCTCTATATATATATATATATGTATCAAACATGATTTTATTATTGTAACTGAATATCAATAATATTTTTAAAAATATGTCATAAAAATATGGAAGTTATAAATAGTTGGAAACTTTTCACTAAATTAACTATTAACACAAGTCAATGGTTGGAGCGGAATTTGCTGCACTAAGTTTATGTAAGCAACTGAAATACTTTTGCGAATTGAGCGTTAAAATTGAATGACATACCAAACTCACAAATCACTATTATATTAATATTTAACCTCTATATTAGACAAGTCAAGTGCAATTGAACAATTTCAAAATTTTATCTTGAGCATTTATTTTACATCATTTATAGAATTATTTTTAAAAAACTCTTACATCATTATAAAAAATGACATTTTTTTTTCTAAAGAAAAACACAATCTAATAAACCTGCTGAAGGTTGGACATAAAAAAGGTATCCATGAAATCAGATAAGTGAATTATTTTATTACATTGGAATATATATATAGATATATATATATATATACACACACACACACACACACACACACACAGAGGGTATATCAAAAATACTTTTACAAACTTTGTGAGCAGGTTCCTCACACTAAAACAAGGACAAAAATCCAGAAAACATATGTCTGCAAATTGTTTGTTTTTGAGTTATTAAGTTTAAAGAAAGTTTACAGTAGATGGTCCTTTGCTAGGTTACATTTGTTATTCGTGCACATTTGTGGCTAGTCTATCTTCAATATCTAACATGTGTAGTAGTGAGTTAACAGAAGTGTTCTGTTTAACAATGGCAGGATATTCATATCGTGAGCAGACAGATATGATTTTTACATAAGTCTGTATGAATGGTAATGGACATGAGGCTGCACAGCTGTATCAAATTGTGTTTCCAGACCTAATGCAACCGAGTCATCTAACCTTTGCTGCTGTTTATCATCACATTGCTGAGGTGGGATCTGTGGCACTACAAACTATGGATCAAGGAAGACCAAGATCTGCTCATATGCCTGACCACAAAAAACACATTCCACACACTGTCGGAGACAATCCAGGTATCAGCACACATCAAGTGGCCCTAGCATATCATACATCTCATAGTACTGCATGGAGGGTATTTCAAGAGCAGTTCCTGTATCGGTATCATTTGTAACTTGTGCAGGGTCTTTCACCCTCTGATCACTCACCACAGGAGAACTTTTGTCAATCCATTCTTTGTATATTCCTCTAACCTCAATACTTTGGATTTTTATCTGTGGGGCCACCTAAAACAATTGGTTTATGCAGCAAACATTAATAATGACGACATGGCATGGGGGCCTGGAAAACCATTCAAACACCATGTGGGAGTATTTGAAAGGGTCCACCAGTCAATAATCTGTCAGGTGCATCTTTATGTAGAAGCAAGCAGAGGGCATTCTGAACATTTGTCATTTGCCGTGTTGAGATACAATGGCGGCCTTTTGGACATTTTATGTGTGTGTGTATATATATATATATATATATATATATATAGGCATTTTACATTGTTTTGGTGTCAAGGACCTGCCCCTACCCTACTAAGTTTGTAAAAGTATTTTTGGATTGTACATTTAACAGCGTCTACCATACATTTTAAACCTAATAAATCAAAAACAAAGGATTTGCAGACATATGTTTATATGGACCTTTGTCCTTGTTTTAGTGTGAGGAACCTGCCTCCAAAGTGTGTGAAAGTCTTTTTGATACACCATATATATATATATATATATATATATATATATATATATATAGATAGATAAAGAGTATACTGAAGGAATTTTTGGTCATTTGATCAGATTTTGGGAAGTGATCAAGGTTGAGAATCTCCACCCTGTGCACATGCACACACATACAAGTCCTTATATAAGAGAAACAAAGGAAATTGACAGAGTGATTTATTTTCATTTATGACTTATTTATTTTGTTCTGAGAATAAAAAAACTTTTCTAGATATGTCTTAATATTTAACATAACTTAGGGGAGGAGAGGGATTCATACATTTCCTAAGGAATAAAATGGAAGACAGTGTTTACAGTAGCTAACCATGGTTGTCTGAATTTTATATTGTATTGTATAAATTTCATTAAAAAAGATGAAAATGTGTAGCAGACATCATTTCAAAAAAAGTGAATTGGAAAAAATTCAGTCTAAATGGAATTTTTAGTCAATTTATCTGCTTGTGTATCCAATAAATTCTTGTTTCAAAATATCTTTTAATCAATTCCTGGTGAATACTTTTAATTTTGGTACTTAAAAAAATAAATAAAAGCTGCAAAAAAATTTGCATTTGGTGTCACCTTTGCTCTGCTGCGTAAATCCCAAATGATGACATCTTCACAGGCACCAACAGCCACATATCGGCCGACTGTTTTACGGAAATTAACAAAGCTGATGTTGGATTGGTGGCTTCCAATAATGCCAAACGTCTCTTTATGCACATAGCGAAGATACTGCTTTGTCAAACCCATTTTATTTCATTGGAATAAACCTAAAAAAATAAAGAAATGAATGAAAACAAAAAAATAGAAGCCATTTGTACTGAACTGTTCCAGTAGATCTTAATATAATTTAATTGAAAAATATATATATTAATGTCCAGAACAAGTACATAGTTTTTTGTGATATTTAATAAACCATTATTTTATGTGTAAAGACACGTATACTGGCTATGAGTTACAGATATTCTGGAATTAATAATTTTTTCATTTTTCTAAGCACATTATGAATAAAGGGCCTGAAATAACATGTATAATTCAATAATTTTAGGTTATAATTTGTAGCATAAGTAAATTTCTTTAACAAAGCTTTTGTTTTCTTCAAATATACAGAAATTATTAAAATTTTGGTGAAAGCAATGAGTGAAGAACATTACAGAAGGAATCAATTTTGATATGAACATGGAGATAGACAAACATACTTATGGTTGTGTTTTTCTGTTGTAATATTTATTACATTTTTAACTATTAGCAAATTTACTAAATTGATATTAATAAAATTCCTGTGAATTTGTAGTTTAGTATCCCAAATTATCGCAGTTGTTGTGAGGCATTCAATCAGTAACAACAAAGTATTACGTAAGTAAATATCAAATAAAAATATGTGTAAAAAAAATCCAAAGAAAATAAAAGTAAACACTTCATCACTTAAAATGTTTGTGTATTTTGTCATATTTTTGGGATCACATTTTTTTCTTTTAGTTTATAAAGTCGGCATTTTTTAAATTAATATATATAATAAAGAACGAAATACAAATAGCAATAAGAAAAAGTTTATACTAAAAAAATACAAAAATAAAAAAACAAAACAATGGATGAATTTGTTTTTTTTTTCCTTCAATAAATTTAATTATATTTTGTTGTAACTGACTGAGTGACCACCAGTGATAAGGCTATTCTCTGAATCTTTCTATAGAACCACTTCTCTTTTGTCTGAATTCTCCTTTTCGACTGTAAGGAAACTGTCCAGCATTCACTGCCATATAGTAGAACTAATATTACATAACAGTTCAACATTTTCTTATATGAAATTTTCCTGTTTCTTGATGACTTGTTCATCTTTTGAAAGACATCTTTCACTATTCCAATGCACCTCCAGATTTTTGTCATATTTTCTGTCATCAACTCAAACACTTTCCCAATTTAAATGTCTGTACTTGCTTGATTTTGACATCTCCAATATGTAGCTCACATCTTGGGCTATGTCTTGCTAATAATCATACATTCTGTCTACTTACAATTATTGGTTAGTCCCTTTCCTTTATTAACTTGTCTAGGAGATCTTGTAGTTTTCTTTCTGTGTCTGCCATCAACACAGAGCCATCTTCATGTTATTAAGATTATCTCCACCAAAAATAAATCTTGGTAAGACTTCTAGTTCTCTTCAGATTCCCCTTGCTGTAAAGGTTAAATAAATCTGGTGAGAAGATGTATCCATGTAATCCTTTCAGTTTTTGTATACTTTCTGAATTTATTTTTTATCCATATTCATCTGGTTTTCTCCTAGTAAATATTCTAATATCTTTCCTAAATAAATCAAGTTTTTCTCGCAGTTCAAATAGATTTTTTTTCTTGCACTTTATCAAAAGCTTTTGTGTAGTGTATGAATGGTAATGGTAATATTAGCCGTTTTCTTAAGAAACATTCGGCATTCATTAACTGAACAGCCAATTGATGACAATTAAAATTCATAAAATCTTCCTCTTGAAACAGTTTTTGAGGAAAATAAATTGATCAAGTCCAGTAGCTGTTATCACTCTTTCCAGTATTGATTGGGGGTGAGAGGGGGTTGTGTTTAACCTTTTATATGAAGTAGTGTGTAATGTCAGCCTCTTGATTATGTCATTATTTTCTCTTTGAGAAACATGTGCCATCCATTTTAACTCTTGTTGAAAGTTCTCAAATGATGTGCTTTCTGTTATTTGGTACAGTTCTTTTTGATTCTGTAGTGCCAATCCAAAAAATTCAAAGAAAAATGGTCTTTGCTAATGTAAGGTAGCAGCGAGACGACGTGTATCTGCCAAGTCACTTGTTGCCGTGAATGTCTTGTTTAAGTAGCCCACTCTCGCCTCTCATGTAAGCGGGCGAGTCTACTTCTATGGGGTGTGTGACGCCAAGACCATTCCGGTCTTGTAACTGGGCGTCTTAGGTTCGATTCCACCTCTACACGCCCCTCCCTTCCGGGGCCACAAGATACTTGTGTTGTGGTCCAATGTTTTGAGGCTCTGGAGTAGTCGTGCGACGTGCCCCCACGTCTGTGGGGATAGGTTCCTGGGTGGTCGCGTCACCCTTCTGCTACGACGCCCGGTTGGTCTTCCTCAACCTCCATCATTCCAGGGGATGCTGTGTCATCTACCTCCATCGGTTCTGGTAGAGGTCGGATGTTTGGGCTGGTTTTGATCCATATCAGTGGTGGACCATTCTCCGGTATTTCGGGCCCTGTTGGGTTGTCTATGGTATCCAACATTCCTGGGGGCACCTCAGGTATCAGTGGCAAAGAGTATCTACTACTGGGTTTATTTTTTTCGAGGAATCTGCGATTGCGACGGGTTACCCGGTTACTCCCATCCATGCGTACATTATACTGCGGTTACCCAGTGTTTCCACCACCCTTCCTGTCCTTGCCCATCGGGCGCCGGGTATGGACCAACTTGGTTTTGTATCTGCACCGCTTCCCGATTTTCAGTTCCTGAAGTGGGTGACTTTTAGATGTATTCTCTTTTATTCCTTAAGTGTCTTTTTGCCATCGCTGTTTCCCTATAATGACTGATTTCTCTCCAGCGTTTGTGGATTCGATATCGGTCCTGGAGCACTGGGAGATGGTCCTTTATCATGCGACCGTAGAGAGCATCATCGCTAGAGACATATGTAGGTCTCGTGCCGGGTGTTCTGCGATGAGTCAGTAGGGACCTAGCTGCCTGGTCATGGCATAGGCGACTGCAACTGTCCGTGCTATCAACAAGTATCCTTTTAGCCGTTTTAACGCCAGTTCTGCTCTCCCGTTGCTTTGAGGGTAATATGCCGATGATGTTCGTTTCCTTATGCCCCAATTATCTAGGAACCGTTAAATTCACTGGAGTCAAAACGGTGGTCCGCCATCGGTTGAAAGTTCCTCCGCACGCCATATACGCAGAACCAGTTTCGTAGGGCGTCACATGTAGCCTTGGCATTCCCGGACGACATCAGAGTGACTTCTACCCATCCGGTGTATCTATCTGCATATACTAGATAGTTCTTCCTCAGAAATCGAAGGAGTCCGTCCACAGTCTTCTGAAATGGGAACCGTCCGAGGGCGGCATTAGGGGTTCCTTGGGTTGTGATGGAGCTATTACGTTGCATACTTTGCACTGGGCCCGGTTTGACGAATGCTCGCGTCCAGTCCTGGCCAAAACAGCCGCTGTCTAGCGTTTGCCAACATTCCATTGATGCCCTGATGCGCTGAATGGAGCGATTCCAGTACCTCTGCACGTAGCTTTCTGGGTATGAGGATTTTATTTTCCATTATCGTCACCCCTTCCAAGCAATATAACTCCTCTTTCATATGCCAAAACCGGCGAATTGTCTCCGCAGTTCGTGCGAGATTTAGGGAAGCCATTTTGTATGAATTCGGGCGAGGAAACGGCATTCCTCGTCAGTAGCAGCTGCAGCCACAATCCTGTCCCATGTTATTGCTCTTAATTTAGGGTCCTGCTCATAGGTGGAGTTAAATGATGCTCTTATGGCACTATCCATAGTTTGTGCGATGTCCTTTTCGTTTGCTTCCTCCTGGCTTAACGCCACTGGGCATCTCGATGTACAGTCTGGTGCCGCATTGAGTTTGCCAGGGAGATGCTTTATTCGAATTTGTACATCAAGGACCGCTTCTTTGAAGTTAAACAGTCTTGGGTTCTTTATGTCCTCCAGAGTTTTGTCCGAGAAGATCTTCACCAGGGGCTTATGGTCCACGGTGACTAACAGCTCTGGGCACCCCAAAACGAACATCCGCATGCTTCCAGTCCGTGACTAATGCCAATGCTTCTCCTTCCACTGGTGCATATCGGGACTCTCGCCATTAGTGAATCGAGCCGACCAGGATTAACTTCCAGTGGTCCTCACCACACTTCGGTCCCAGCCGGTGGCACAGTTGCAGTGCTTCTGGAAAAGAAAATATCCTAAGCCTGTTTTGCTGAAGTCCGTCGACAAACAAGTTGGCCTATTCACTTCAAGGTTCTTACACGCTCTCGATTTCTTCTGTGATCCTTCTTTTTTCGACTCTTTGAAGATTCGATCGAGTGTGCTGTCCCAGTAGAACTTCCGATTTTTTGTCTTTAGCAGCTCCTGGAACGGGCCATTACCTCGGCCTGAGAAAAAAGTGTAGGCTACCTGGTTTACCATTCCAAACCAGGATCTTATGTCAGTTATATTTTTTGGTGTCGGGAAATTCCGTATTATTTCAGTCATTTTTTGGTGGGTTTTATCCGCCTTCTGTTATCAAGAACCCGCAAATTCCACCTCTTTTTCCGCCAAGTGAAATTTCTGGGAGTTGAATACGATACCATTTTTTGCTGCAGTTATTTATGTACTCCATAGTATGCCAAAATGATGATTCAATAGAGTTGTCCCATAGTATCGTATCGTCAATACATCTTGTTTTCCTGGGCATATCTACAGTAATATTGTCGAACCTCGTGTATATCGTCTCCTGATGCTTGGAATCCTTGTGGTGCCCAAGATAACGGTATCTACCCCATTCCGTGATGAAGGTAGTTGCATCTCTTGCTGATGGAGAGAGGGTTAGGCTATGATAGCCATTCCATGCATCCAAAACGTTTTTTCTAGTTTTCGCAGGCACCAGCTATGCCTGATTGAAAGGAGACGGTGTATGATGGGTTTCCTGTAGGGTAGCGGTGTTGAGCTTCTGTAGATCCACCGTACGCCTCGGTGACCCATCCTTTTTCGGTGCAACCACCGTTCTGGAGCACCATGTTGTAGGTGTACCTACTGGTACAGGTTC